GTTATAAAATTCTGCATCTCTCATAGCAAATATTATTTTCGTTTTAATTGATGCTCACAGCTAGAATTTTTTTGCATTACAGCCGGTGCCATTCAAAGCCTACTTAATTAAAGCGGGCGAATTTTTGTATACTCTATATCTCGAAGAGGAATCGAGCAAAATATCAAGTGTCTTATATTTTTGGAAAGGTAATTTTAAATTCTTTTCAATAAATTAAAGATATACAGGGTGTCTCGTATAAAAAATCAAATTTTCTGTTGATAATTCTTAAATTATTAATTTTAAAAAAATTATAGTTAAACCATTAAATTCTACGTAAAAAGGTGCTTTGGAAATGTTTCCATAAAAATACAAAATTTTCCATAGCAAAAAAGTTACAGCAATTTGTTAAAAATGCATATTTTTGAAAAACACCCCGTAACTCCGAAACAGTAACAGATATCGATATGCGGTTTTCACCATCATGTTTTTGACAAAAATTGAGCTCCAGACACCGATATTAGTTTTTGTCTATCTCCTATAGAAAGGGGTGTTTCCATTTAAAAGCGTCGAATTTGACCCACCCTGTACTTGTTGGCTTTATTATTTATAAATCTACCTATCTCACAATTTTCACTTAGTATCTGTTTAATTATATACGTTCGCGAACATTTTGTTCGAGTAGCTTGGACGCGGCTTTAAGTTGCGTCCCCTAAAACCATTCTATTTACCATTTTTTTCCTGATTCCCAAAACAAATGAAACATGGAACTTCATAGCTGGCTCACCTTGTACAATCTGTAAAAATAATTTATGTGTACCGGTATTCTCTATATCAGTGTTTCTTCAAGTGGTCAATATCATCCTGCTTGAGGCGTTGAAGAAATTATTGAACAGCAAAAATTCCGGATGAATTGTGGTACTGTCCACTCTTCAAAACGTATCATAATAATAAGCTTAGCTTAAATGTCAAATTTATTGCTGGCCAAATTAGCGTTAGTGTGATAGAATATAAAAATATATTAAACAATTTTTTTTAAGTACCAAAGGATAAAAAAAAAACGGCGTCAAGTAGCCTTGGAAATGAAGATCACTAAGATTTTATATTTATGTAAAATTATATGGTGACGCCGTTTTTTCCATATTAAACAAATTTTGTTTTTTTCTCTAGCAACCAGATATCTAGTTATTTTAACAGCAGAAGATTAAAAATAACGATATCTGTTATATATCTTAAAAAAAGTGCTATCTAATTTTACACATAAAATGACGACGATTTTCATGTTCCAAGCTATCTCTAACGCCTTTTATTTTGATCATATGATAACCCCAAAATATTTAAAAACTTACTTTTGTTACATCATATAGGTAATTTAGGATTAAAGCCATTTTACATTTCAAATTAAATATACTTTATTTTTCTAAAACAAAAAATGTTTACATTGGAATACAAGTATTTAAGAACGCCCATGATACAAAGAATACAAGGTATGATATTGCGCAGGTTGGTCACTACGTCACAGGATAAACGCCACCATTGGTCGGCAAGTTCCGCGCGCCAATTTCAAATTGTCAAACAGATGACACAATAATGGTGGGTTCATACAGCCAAATAAAATAAAATAAGAATAAAATAAAATAAGAAATAAGGAATTCTTATTTGTGTGCGTTCATACAGTCAAATAAAATAAAATAAGAAATATATATTTGCTCATGCGCAGTACGATGAGGCTGGAAAGAAGTTAACTTTTACGATTGTTTATAGTAATTTTACTATTTATAGTATATTTATTTATTCGTTGCCTACTATATTATACATTATACTTATGTGAAATTATAAAATAAATTAAATCCAAACTGAAAATATTTGTAGGTTAGAATTAAGCGGGCGCAAAGCCGTTTTCACATAAAATAAAACAAGAAGTTAAAAGATAAAGACTTCTTATTTTATTTGTTATTTTATTTGGCTGTATGAACGGCATGTACGGTATCCCATATAACCAACTTTCTTATATTATTTTATTTTATTCTTATTTTATTTTATTTGGTTGTATGAACCCACCATAAATGTGAAAATAATTTTTCAAATGTCAAGCTCGATGATTTGACATAACTTTTTGGGTTATGTCCTAATTCTTCCCTATTTTAGGTCTTTTTTTATTAGTGGCAAGTGGCCAAACCAGCCAATATGGATATTTTTTTGTATGGCGTATGACGTCACAGGTGGTATGCGCAAACTTAACGAAATTGGAGCCGCTATCGATCATACCTTGTTTTCTTTGTACCATGAAGAACACCAGCTAAATCTAATTTGGCCAATAGATACAACATATAAAGTGTGGTCCGAAAGGTATTCGGGAAACTTTAGCAGCATATACCGCAGACAAAAGTAAGTTAAAAAAACTTTTAAAAATTTATGTCCAAAAATGCTTAGCGTCGGAGATACAGGGTGTAGAAGTTTCATTTTTATTTCGAGTTCTTCAAAACGATACGACTTTTTGGATATAAGAAATTTGATTTTGATAGACCTGTAGTGGCCACCACCTATGTACAGGGTGTCCCACAAATATATAACTAAAGAGGCTATGGGAAATTGCTGGAAATTATTTTCAAGTTTGTAGAACGACCGCTAGGGGGGCGCAACTGCAACAAAAAATGAGAAAATGGAGTTTTTACACGATTTTGCTTAGACAAGGTGTACTATAAGTAATGGTTTCATAATCTTCAGTAAATTTTGAATATTTTTTGTTAAAGCCATTTTCCCCTATCTACCAAAATCAAGTGGTGGGGAAAGGTTAGATCTGTGTTTATTTAAATATTAATAACTCTAGACTGGATGATCGGAATCCAACAAGCGAGGGCTCGTTTTCAAAGAGCGTTTCTTACTCTATATTGTACCATATAAACAATAATAATAAGCCTTTGAACGTAGACGCTAGGGGGCGTTGTCTTACAATTTAACAAACATTGCGCGTTTTTTCAAAAAAATTAAATGCAATAGTATATGTAATTTTAGCTGATAGTAAAGAGTAGTAAAAGCTTAAAAAGTCAGCGAAAACCGCATCTTGATATCTTCTTTCAAACCGAAGATATTAGCAAAATTATAATAAATACCAAAAAATAAGCCCTTAATTACCTTATTTTTACAATACAGTATCAGTAGCCTTCTTGATTAGGCCCATTCAAACAAAAAATAAGACAGAAACAGTTAGTTTATTTTAAAATCGACGAAATACCAGAATACCATAATACCAGAGGTATTAATATCTAATAATTAAGATATTAACACTGAACAAGAAACGATGATTCAGTGAAGTCATGGTAGGCTTTGGAAAAAAGTTGCTTTTGACGTAATAGTATAAACGTCAAATTGTTATTAGATCAACATTCTGACAGTCTTTTATCTTTTGATTGCTTTTTCAAAATGCAAACAACTTCAACTATTTCAAATAATAAAGGCATTTTGAAAAAGCAATTAAAAGATAAAAAACGCTGATAAGACTATCAAAATGTTGATCTAATAACAATTTGACGTTTATACTATTGACGTAATAGTTGGATTCTTATCAGCGTTTTTTATCTTTTAATTGCTTTTTCAAAATGCCTTTATTATTTGAAATAGTTGAGGTTGTTTGCATTTTGAAAAAGCAATCAAAAGATAAAAGACTGTCAGAATGTTGATCTAATAACAATTTGACGTTTATACTATTACGTCAAAAGCAACTTTTTTCCAAAGCCTACTATGACTTCACTGAATCATCGTTTCTTGTTCACTATTATTAATATCTTAATTATTAGATATTAATACATCTGGTATTATGGTATTCTGGTATTTCGTCGATTTTAAAATAAACTAACTGTTTCTATCTTATTTTTTGTTTGAATGGGCCTAATCAAGAAGGCTACTGATACTGTATTGTAAAAATAAGGTAATTAAGGGCTTATTTTTTGGTATTTATTATAATTTTGCTAATATCTTCGGTTTGAAAGAAGATATCAAGATGCGGTTTTCGCTGACTTTTTAAGCTTTTACTACTCTTTACTATCAGCTAAAATAACACATACTATCGTATTTGATTTTTTTGAAAAAACACGCTATGTTTGTTAAATTGTAAGAAAGCGCCCCCTAGCGTCTACGTTTAAAGGCTTATTATTATTGTTTATATGGTGCAATATAGAGTAAGAAACGCTCTTTTAAACGAGCCCTCGTTTGTTGGATTCTGATCATCCAGTCCGGAGTTATTAACATTTAAATAAAGATAGATCTAACCTTCCCCCACCACTTTATTTTAGCAGATATGGGAAAATGGTTGTAACAAAAAAAAATCCAAAATTTACTGAAGATTATGAAGCTATTATTTATAGTACCCATTATCTAGGCAAAATTCTGTAAAAAATCTATTTTGTTGTTTTCCAGAGCAGTTGCGCCACCTAGCGGCCCTTTTACAAACTTGAAAATAATTTCCAGCAATTTCTCATAGCCCCTTTAGCTATAAATATTTTTTTTAGCAGCCCCTAAGGGTAATACTTTCCGAGATACAGCCCAGAGCTGTTCTTTAGTGGGACACCCGGTACATGTTTTCGGAGTTGTTTGTAGAGTAATAACTTTTCGTCTGTACCTGTATAAAACTACTGAGTGGAAACATATACATTGCCACCGTTTTTTTTTTATGTAAAAAGGCCTCTCGTTAAATAGCGCTGCGAGTAATGCTTCTCAAAATATCTGTGCCTGCATCTCCGAAACGAAGCATTTTAGAACATAAATTTATACGAACTTTTTTACCTGTTTTATCGGTAGAACATGCTGCCGAAATTCCCCTAATACAATTCAGACCACCCTATACAGGGTGTCCCAGGCTGAGCGTGCATTAGAAGTTTCTAGAGAACCACAATATCTAAAATCTCCGAGCTAGATATTGTGGTTCTCTCGAAACTTCCAATGCACGCTCAGCCTGGGACAGCCTGTCTAACACCAGAGAAAAAAAATGTTAATACAGCCTGTTCTCAAGTACAACGTGTGTTAAAGCCGGTCCAATTACTAGTGCCTATTATTCGGCAGCCTGCCCTGGTGCTGCGGTACCCCGTTATTTCTCGAATGCTGTTGCTGCTGCGGAGGCCTATTCGACCGGTTACTATAGCCGTTGTTATAATAGCCCTGCTGTGGGGCACTGTTCAACGCCGCCCCTCTGTTCTGTTGTGCCGGCACCCTGTTCGCAGGATGCTTGTCCAAGTCGTCTGCAACCTGTAGCTGTTGAGCGAGAGCGGGGTCCTCGCCGGGCGGTACGAGGGGATTGTTTTGGAGCTGCGCTAACGAGGGTCCAGTAGGCGCGGCTTGGGGTAAACTAGCGGGATTAATTTGCTGGGTCGGTGGGAAATGGGTCGGCATAGGGATGGGGGCCGGGGGCTGCACGACGAACGTCTGATTTGTAAACGTTTGAGTCGCTATTTGTTCCGGAGTATCGATTTCAGATTCCTGTAAAAAAATAAAAGACGCTCAAAAATCACAAACGATTCGATTTAATAAATTAACAACACACCAAAAACAATAGACAATTATTAAATACCAGGGTTGGAAAAAATCATGATTTTTTTTAAAAAATCAAAAAAATCAGATTTTTTTTATTTCAATAGAAACCATTTAAATTTTCAAAATAATGGTCTATTTCACAAAAAATAAAATACCCAATTCAAGGACAAAATCTGATATAGAAGACTATTTTCAGTATATTTATCCAAAAAAATTGTTCTATGACATTGAATAATTTTTTATAGGCCCTCAAAATTGCTTTAATTTGAAATAATTTTAAAGCGCCAATTGATGACGTATGAAAAATACGCCCAATCACATTGCAGAACCGTGCTCGTGCGCCAGCCAACAACTGGCAACGTTGCGATTTGATTTGACCAGCACCACCACAACTGAAGGCTAATTAAACATGATATGAGCAAGGCAAATATGGCGGCGAAGGCAGCGCATTATTAAATTGTTTACCTTTAACCTGAAAAGCCGGTAGTGGTTTCTCGTTCCGATTGCATACCAGAAATAATTAATTATTTCTAGTTTGTTGTGCTTCTGCAACACGTTTGTTTAGTTCTTAGTGTTCAGTGTATGGTGTGATCAGAAATTTGTGATAAAATAACAGTGTAATAAAAATCCAAACCAGACATTCCACATAGGGAACTTCAAACTTATTAATTATTTTAAAGTAAGAACTAGAAGTATTTATCAAGATATTAGACCTAAATGAGTAAAAAGCCTTCACCGCCAGTCTGCATAGTACTTAATGGTTACTTACAATAATCAAAAGATAGGTACTAAAGGGTAGGTATTAACATTTTATTGTAGAATTCCTTTTACATGCTCTGGTTCCAAATTGTCACGAGAATTATAGAGGGGGTTCCAAGGTTTCTGCTTTTATATTCCCCAAAAATGACGAGCTTCGTAAAAGATGGTTGACAGCTATTAAAAGAGATAATTTCACTCCTACTAGTAGTTCTCGGGTAAGAAGTGCATTAAATATGCCTCAAAAAGGCCAAAGGCCAAAGCCTCTGTTACCCTAGGGAGGATGTAGGTATGGCTACTGCTTACACTTACCTCACTATAAGTAAAATATTGGAAGAATAATCAAGCTTTTTACATCAAAAAGATCACAGAAAGATATTGACAACATTCACATTTGAAAATATAAATGGCCTGGATGTAAGTCTTTTTTTAGGTCACAATTGCCCTTCACATACGTCAGAATTTATTACTAAATCCATCTTGTTCAGATTATCCTATATTTTATTGAAGAACTATGCAAAAAAAAGGAATGATGTTATAAAAAGATATTTAGTTTTTTTTTTCTATATAAAATCTTGAAACACATATTATATTTTAGTTATCCTAACCTATTATAGTTTAAATTTATTCCCATTTGTGTAATGCTGCAAAACATAGGAATAAAATATTCCATATTTTTTTACCCAAGCCAGTGTAGTTTATAATTCCAAAAGCATTTACCAAGGCTTTTACTAAGACAAGTAACTTCCTATACTGTCCATAACAGTATATATTTATCAAACGTGCAGTAAATTCTAAACTATGGTAGGTGAGTGTTTGCAATTGAATATTTAGTTTATATTGCTATTTTCTGTCACATATTTCTGGTTATTTCTTTTTCCGAGTATTTTCAACACCCTATATATGCTACCTCAAGTTTGAATATTTGCACACTAGTACACTACCTACCTATTTTCGGAGATAGCAGACCTTTTTATAAAAAGTAACTAACTGATGTTTTCAGAAAAGTAATAATACAAAAAATTCCATACTTATGTGGAGAGCTTTAGACCCTGTATATTAAAAAAATAGTGAAATATTACGTAATCTAACCCGTGAAAAATGTCTATTTGGAAATAAAACAGGTTTTAAAATACGCGCCAAATAAAGCACTTCTATCTCCGCCATATTGGAAAAGGTTGAATGGCCTTGTGTGGAGGTGGTGGTGGGTCAGCATGGTGGCCCGGCCATGTTGCCGCTTTTCAACATGCTAGGTGTGACGTATTAAAAATAAAGTGCGGATTTTTATTCTGGACTTTTTTGTTTTCATTTATTTTCTTAAGAACGACTTCAGATTTTCGGTCTATTCATTAGACAGCCAGTCGACTTAGATCGTTTACAAGAAACTCTGTAAAATAACTTTCATTTCAAAAGATAAAAAAGATTTTTTTTTAGTCATCGATAGGTAATAATAATAATAAATAATCAATAGGTAGGTCAATGAATAGCTTTGAATAAGAAGACTAAGGAAGGAGCATATCAAAAATCTTAGGTACACCGCGATGGGCCTCAAATATGGCCGACTTAAATTCTGGTTTATCAGTGTCCTTCTAATTTTATTTAAAAAATGTAAAACTATGATGTAGGGTAGACGTGGGGTAGACTCAATAACTTGTTGTTTTATTTTATGTTGTGAATAAATGTTCGTAGTTTTTAAAATTGTTATAAAGATATATAATTCTAATAAAAATAGATAAGTTATAATAAGTATTTATTAACACAAACATCCGATACGCTACTGAAGCAGGTAAGTCAAATTAACATATCTAAATTCTTTGACATCTAATCTTTGACAAGTAATAAATAAAAGCTAAAATGCAAGAAAAATATATAATTTAGTTAATTTAAGTGAATTTCATAAATGATCGGTTTACTACACGTATGTATATTATATAGTCACTTACTAGCGAAAAGTTGTTCCATTATTTCACTCGATTTTTGCCGAGATCTACCGCACGCTACACAACCAACTATTTTAGAGTCTTTTTCGATAAATCGCGATAGTGTCACTGCCATCTAGATTTACTAGCTTTATACAACTATCAGTAGTAGAATAAATAATAAATAACATAAAATAAGCTCCGTAAAGACTGACAAATCCACAAAATTTCAAATCAAATTCAAATGTGTCAAATGAATTGTCGAACAGAACTGTCAAGGATCCCCACTCTAGAGTCCTTTTTCCGCCCACCATGCATGAATACATGGATAGCATTATGCTCCTTCCTTAGTCTACTTATTCAAAGATGAATAGGCTCAGTTACTAACCTGCAAAAAGAAAAAACTTCCAGTACCACCCAACATTTCAGCTATAGGCCTAGGTGGTTGCGGTTGCGGTGGTTGCTGATAAAATATTTCCTGTGGTGGTCCCTGTAGAGCCACCCCCACTGTGTCTATTACCCTCGGTACTTGAGGCGGTACAACTTGCTGTGAGGGAAGAGTAGCAACAGGAGGCTCGGTTGCTGATTTGACAGGAGTCGCGCCGTGAAGCGCCGGGTGGTTGGTAGATTCGATTGTAATACTCTCAATGGTAGCTAAAAGTAAAGGATATAGCACAAGAAACGTATTGTAAAAACTAGAACTCACCTGATAGCTGATTATCTTGGGATGCTTCTGTTAGGGGATCTGAGTGGTCCAGAGACTGTACCAGACATTCCGCAGGAACCTCAGAGCTTCCTTCTTCGACCAGCGCCTCCTGTATAATAAAATTCTAATTAAAATGAGATAATTTTTCCAATATTAGAGCTATTACATTCACCTGAGTTTGATCAAAGTATCCACTTTCGTGGATTTTTCCTAATATCTCTTTCACCTGACTGTAAGTTCCACCAAATATTTCTTTTGGTTTGCCATCGACCACAGCTAATAAATGTTCGGCAGCAGCCTGAACTTCATTTGTAAAAGCTGTCGGATTGCCAGCTTCATGTTTGGGAGTTACCTCAGGATACAAGTCATCTAATAATCTTAAATGTAGAAAAATGTTACAGTATATATAAAAAGTAATGAGTACATTTTATTAGCATACTTAAGATCGCATTCAGTCAATTGGGCAGCTCCATTTCTACCATTAAGAAAATCATCTCGGACATTCTCATTTCCCATTTGATTTAGAGCATCCTGTACTAAAAGAATTTCTCTGAGTCTAGCTAACTCTGCTTGATTTTTCAAAGATGCTTCACGTTTAGCCTGTTTTTTTGCTTCTTTCTCAGAACTCGAAGCAATACCTAAACAAAATAATATTTCATATCAATTAATGTAAATTGTATGCTCTCTTGTATGCAAAATAACAATTCTATTATTGTTACAAACCTAGGAACTGTTTATATAAATCCCTTGCAAAATCCAAAGTTTGCACAACTTCATCTATCTTAGCAAGAGCAGTCTTTTGATCAGAGTTCAGTTCTTTTCCAGCATTTTGCAAATCTCTGTATGATTCTAATTTGACCTAAATGAAAAATAATCATCATATGAATGGTAATATGCATGGTTCTTAATGTTTTCAATTCATACAATCACTGTATAGCTGATTTATATTTGCCCACTTCAGTAATTAAGCCAAATATTTAAGAAAGTTAGTTGATTACATAGAATCATGAAATGAAAGGTTCTTTATAGTATAAGTATTGCATAGTTATAATATTTACACATTAAATTATAAGTTATCCGTCACGTGATATAAATCTTTGTATAAGTAATTCTGTTCAAAGTAAAAGGTAAGAAAATTCCAGGGCTACGAATTGTTTTGTCAAAAGAAGTTATTTTTTTATTGGACATGAATATTAAACAAAAGGAAAAAAACTATATAGGCTATGACCCACAACCTTACCTTTCTTTTTTCCAAATTCCTTATTTTATGTTCTATTATTGTGATAGCCTGTCGAAGCGGTGTAACTGTAGAATTTCCAGTATCAGTCAGTGCATTTTCGGCTGAGGAAATTTGTTTGTCAATTTTGACACTGGCTGCAGAAGGCATTATTTCCCTTTGGAGATCTATTTTAGTAAACTAAAAACACTCTTAAAAGGAAAACGCTGTTCTGCCACAACTACAATGTGCTTTTCCTTGTATAATGCCGAAAATCGCTATAAAAATACGAAGAACTTGCTTTCCATCGAAAAGCCGACAATGAATGACAGCAGCGGAAACAGCGAAACAGCCATTTACAAATTTCTATTGGTGGGCAAAACCGTGAAAAGCGGAAACTTTAAATTTATAACGCGGCAATTTTAAATTTTTAAAAGAAATTTAACTAGTTGTTTTTAATGTTTATAAAACACAAAACCAGTACCCCGCGTACTTCGTAAAAACCAAAGAGTAGATATATGGCATATCTAATTACTTTGAGTAATTTATTAATGGCCGTTTCCTAGCTAGTCTAATATTAACGTTGATTAAGGTTACTTTTACCCGTAGAATCGATGATCAAATGCAGCAAAAAATATAGGCTTCAAGGTCAGCCACGGAATCCACAGATCCACACCTTTACCAAACCTTTCGCCTTGACCTTTACCGATGTGACTTTTTAAATTCTCTTATCATATTCTGGTCATATTCAAAACTTAGTGCTGGGAAGAGGGTCATAAGCTACTAGGACTATCCGGCCTAGTAACGTGGTACTTTTTTCATCTATGTATGGTACTACCTGCGTTTACTAAAATTAGAGATTGGAGGGTAATTGGAGTTATAGAGGGAACATCTGAACTAAATATACGAGAAGGAAAAAAAAATAAAAGGAGTAGAAAAATCTTCTTTCTTTCTTAATTGGTTTTAGGGCCTAAGCTGCCAGGACAATACGGCCGGATGATTGTTTCCTTTCCTCTTTTAAATTCAAAATCAAGACTCATCCCCAGGGTTCGGAAATAGTTAATTTACCTAATAAAGACGTAATTTACCTAATTAACTACGTGTAGTTTTTCTTCAAAAACTACGTCTTTTCCCGTTCATTAACTACATGAAAACTACATTAATAAACTACCTATTGATATTATGAATATTATATTTAAAGCCATATTTCTTCTGTTTTCTTAAATACATTGTGTTTTCTAAAGCTTCAACTTATTGTAACCTCACCTCAAACCTTTGATATTAGAAAGTTACATACATAGATTACATAAACTACACCCTCTACATAAACTACATTAACTACATGTAATGTAGTTTATGTAGTTTTTAAAAGTAACATGTAGTTTTCCGAACCATGCTCATCCCTGATTAATTCTTGGCTTGAAACCACAGACATAAAACTTATCCTCCTTGACGGATATCCGCTTTTTTATGCGACGTGCGGCGTGCGGCGGTGCGGCGTATCATTTCATCGATTTATTTGCGAAGCGACGCTTGCCTTCATCTTGGCGGCATATTTTACTTGACACTAATTTCCAGATATTTGAGGCGTTTGAAGCAGCAAAGTGTCGAAATTCTACGATCTTCAGTCTTCTGCTGCGAAATTTGGTAACTAATAGAAAAAATTTGACCTACGTTCCACGATTTCTTCGTAATACCTTGCTGCCAATATTCGATAAATATTTTATAACAAACGCCTCCCGACATTTTGCTTTCCTGTCGCAAAACACTACGTACATTTCATAAGTGTGATTTGCAAGCACAACACTCGAATTTAAAATATCTCTTCAGTTTTTTTAGTTATATATCGTTAACGAAGATCTAAAAATGTTTCATATTAAACCCTCTTATACTTCGAGCATTATTGGTATTACAAAAATTACATTTGCCCATACTTTAACGCATGAAACCAACGACAAATATATCCGTATTTCACAGAATCATCGACATGGGCGACAGAGACAGAAGTTCAGATAGAGGAGCCAGAGTATACGTTGGAGGATTGAGTGAGACAGTGAAGAAAGAAGATCTCGAAGGGGAATTTGAAAAGTTTGGTAAGCTTGATAATGTGTGGATAGCCCTGAACCCACCAGGATTTGCATTTGTTACTTTTGTTAACTTGTCTGATGCCGAAAATGCATGTGATAACTTGAACGGAATAGATTTCCTTGGCTCAAAGTTAAGAGTAGAAATTGCAAAAGGGCGTTCCAGAGGAGGAGGACGGTTTCGGGGAGGTGGAAGGGGTGGAGGAGGCCGTGGAGGCTCTGGCGGCTTTGGAAGAGACGGAGGAAGAGGCTTTCGAGGCAGTCCCAGAGGTGGACGTGGTGGTGGAGGTGGAAGATATTTTGATGGAGGTAGAGGTGGGGATTTCAGGGGCCCTCGTGATGACAGTCGCTTCGGAGGCAGAGATTTCAACAGAAGGAGCGATGGATATGATAGGGAAGGTGGCAGAGGAGCAGGAGGGCCCCCAAGAAGATTTGAAGGCAATCAGAACTACAGATCAAGATCGCCAATGTCTGGAGGCCAGAGGCATTGAATACTATATTACTAAGATTACCTATATTCTCTTTTTTTGTTTGTATTTGCTTTTATTGTAAAGCCTGTGATTTATGTTATATCAGTCAATACTGCATTATTGACATAAAGTAACACTGTTCTGATTATGTATTAATGGAATATGTTAATTTTCATGTTTCTATTGGAGTATAATTGAATTATTGTCAAGTAGTTCTTCATTAGTAAAATCATATTTCTTTTGACTGAATATTTTGTAATTAGCAGAAATAAAATTTGAAAGGTTTTTTATATTGATTTTTTAGACATCTTAAAATGTTAATATCTGATAATATATATCGGGTGGTATCTTTGTTGGAAATAGGAAATAGTATGCAAATTTTGAAGTGTACAAATATTGGCTCCTTTGCTGATTTTTTTTGCGAAGTTGTAGGTTTTCAAGTTCTGTGTATGGTAAATACAAATGTCCAACCGATTTTAAATAATTTTCGAAAAACTGCATCTTAAAACTAAAATGGACCTTTAAAAAGTATATTTCGACTTCTCTATAGGATCCACGGGGTAGCAAAGACTCGGAACAGGTTCTTAGAATAAAAAAAATACAACACAGTTTCAGTTTAAAATTTTTATGGTATTTCCTCTTTCCAACGAAGGTGCACAACCCTGTATATGAAATGCACTGAATTAAATTAAATATAGAATTTAGTATAAATTCAAGATTTAATTAAGTGTGGAAGCCAGTGAGATTAATTATGAATTAATACACAGGGTGTACACGAGCGTACACATCATTTTCAATAGAGTGACTTTCAAAAGTAAACTGATTCTTACTTGGTACCCTGATTCTTTTTTTTTATTTGTTATAAAACTGATCATCCGAATTTTATTTAAAAAGTCACTGGGATGCCGTTTTTTTTTATTTTCATCCTGTCGGAATGGTGATTGTGTGATTGTGCGTGATTGTGTGATTCATGGTGTGATTTCGACCTTGTAACTTGTTTTTGTTTTGAACTGATAGCGCATAAGCACATCATAATCATAACCTTATATTTAAAGGTCATATAAAAATGATTGCAAAAAGTATCGCATTGTGCAGAAGTCATATAGGATCCGTTAAATTATTATCTAGTTGTAACAGATATTTCCAGACATCGACAGCAAGCATGGTAAAGGTAAGCATATAGATAAATAGAATTCGCATTACATAACAATCTAATAACATCCGTTTTTGTAAGGTCGGCGATGTACTTCCAAATGTGGATCTTTTCGAAGATCTACCCACAAACAAGGTCAATCTAGCAGATCTCGCCAAGGGCAAAAAAGTAGTACTTTTTGCAGTTCCTGGAGCTTTTACTCCTGGTTGTTCAAAGGTGTTTAGTATAGACGCGAAAGTCATATTTTTTGATAATCTTATGATTTTAGACACATCTTCCAGGATATGTATCAAAAGCTGAAGAACTGAAACAGCAAGGCGTCAGTGAAATTGTATGTGTCTCTGTTAATGATCCTTTTGTAATGTCTGCATGGGCAAAAGATCAGCAAACTGCAGGTAAAGTCAGGCTATTAGCTGATCCTTCGGCAGCGTTAGCTCGAGCTCTGGATTTGACTGTTGATATCGCTCCTTTAGGCGGTGTAAGTAGTAATTTAATTTTTTTACATCAGAAGAAACCTATACTTTGCATGTCTAAATATATGTTAACTACTTGTCTTTCTCTTGGCAGGTACGTAGCAAGAGATACTCTATGGTTGTTGAAAATGGAAAAATTACATCTCTACAAGTTGAGCCAGATGGTACCGGCTTATCATGTTCCTTAGCTGATAAAATTAAGTTGTAATTGGGATTTTTTAAATGTTTGAGAGCAAAAGTTCAAATCGTTGGTGAAATGTGTTAAACTGCTAACTCCATTCTTAATTTTACAGAAGAAAAGATGAGTACAAAAAATATGTACACATATAACAAGGTATAATATACTTGCTACATGTGTAAATGAATGTTCATGCAATATTATGATAAAGAGGTAATAATAATACCGTATGATCGAATAAAAACGGCGTCCAGTTGGCTGGGAAATGACGATCGATGACATTTCCCATATAAATTTACATATAAAATGACAGCGATCTTCATTTCATAGCCATCGCTGACGCCGTTTTTATTCGATCATACGGTACTTACTTCCTTAAAAAAATTAAAGTAAAAATTATATATTAAGGCTGTATTCCGTTGCAAAACCAGGCGAATCACACCGGTAAACTACGGTAAAGAGCAGTTCCTGAAAAATATCGGTTTGATACGGAACGGTTTGGTAAAATACTGGAAACATCAAATGTTGACGTTTGCTAAATTTCAATACCTCTACTATAAAATTTATCTTTTATGCATTTTTAATGTACCTATTCTCTGCTTTTACGTTTGCTTCTTCTTTTCAATGGAGTTTAATATTGAAAAGTACTTTATTAATAAACTGTTAAACTCGTTAGACAGCTCAAATGAAGATTTGCAGGTCCAATATTAAAACAGATTAATAATAAATAAACAAATCTAATCAATATTTATATTTTTATAGCTTACAAAACATTCACGATTACTTGTTGTCTTGTTTTTCATGTTTTCTTTAAATGTTCCTGACTTTAAGAAACAATGGCTGCATGATAAGTTTAAATGGTCCTAAAAAGTCATTCTATTTATATAGTTAATGAAATTTATTTACCTTTACTGCCTACCTCCATTGCTTTTGGATGTAAATACAAAACATTATTATAAATTTTAGAAATTAAATGGGAATTTCACTCCAACTTCCAATATTTACTTCATAGATAAAAGACATACTATTATCATATCATAACTATTATTTACTTGATTTCTGTCACATAAATGACTGATTGACAAACAAAACCAGAAAAACCAGCCTTCTCGCGTTGGTTAGTTTGGTGACAGTTATAACCGAATTTTTCAGGAACAGTGTTCCGTAATAAGAAAACTTTCAGGAAACCGATAGAAACAGAAACGGAACATAAAACCATAACCAAGGTAAGCAACAGAATACACGCTAAATGTATTTTTTTAATTAAAGTCAAAAATGGAGTTAGTAGGTTAACACATTCCACTGTTGAAATGCTTCCCTTTAACAGAAATAGAATCATGTACCAATAATAAATTATTTATTTCCTTTAAGACATATAAAAACTGTTTGGTTATGTTTTTGGTTTATATAAAATTTAGATGTAGTAAAAGATGATTAAAATGGGCGATTACAAAACTTAATTTGTGATTTTATTTATTAACTGGAAACATAGCTCCATGTCCTGGTATAATGTAGTCCGCAATATCCATAATTTTTAGCCTATTATGCCTCTGTAATTCAATATTATCGCTTCCTGCATTTATCCATATTAATTCATTCAGTAAGTCGTTCTCATTTTCGAACAAATCTCCTACTATGGCATACACCAAATTATTTTTATCTTTAAATATAACAGATACATCTTGTAACGTGTGACCTGGTGTAGGAATTACTTTAATATTTTGATTTATTACATATTCTTCTTCGTTACTAAAGTCTGGTGATAACATATACGTTTCCCCTTTTGATATGCTAAATCCTACAATATGGATGGCTTTAGTAAAAAGGTAATTGCAACCAACATGGTCAGAATGGCCATGTGTACAAATAACATAATTAATATCATTGGGGGAGAGACCAACATTGTTTAAAGATTCTACAATAGCTGCTCCATCCCAAGCAGTTCTTGTATCAATAATAATATTTTGGGGTCCTTTTATTAAAGTACAAGTACAATTTGCCTCCATTACATTGCCGTTTAGTCTTGAAAAGCCTGGTAAAAGAACCTTAATCTCAAACTCTTTTTCTACATTCATTGCAGAGCTTTGTTGCAGAGTTCATTCACTTGTCAATTCCAATATTATAGTTTCACCTGGTTTATGTATCTTGAGTTTCACCGTGGTTTCACACAGTTATTACAGTGTACAGTGTTTTTTTGGTAATTATTGGGAAAACTGGAAATAGTCCGATTTTCACCAAAATTGGTATACACCCTATTTTGAGGTCGTAGATTACGAATCAGATTATGAATCGAATCTGAATCTTTTTTCTTGGTGATCTCTTACCGTTTTTCAGAAAAACGGAAAATTAGCTATTTCAACATCGAATTTTTCTTAATTTCTTATATTTTTAAGGTTTTCTAGCAAATATTTTGTTAGGTATTCAATAAACAATGATGTTATTGCTATTTTCTGTTACTTTTTTAACCAATTCTATGCATAATAGAGGAAAATTTGCTAAAATAAATTTGTAAACGATCTGAAAATGTTGGGTTATGTTTCTGGCATTTAAAGCAACGTTGCCAATGCTAAACCGAAATTTAGTGTGTTTTGTTTTTTCGCTCATTCTGGAATTACGAAAGGCGGTCGCCAGAAGAACGGCTCCTTCCCATAACTGCTACTGTGAACTGCTATTTTACCAACGAGATCTGACAATTTATAACCACGAAGTTGCACAAAAGAGTTTTGATTGCATTGGTTACAACTTCCATGCGGAGGGTGTTAATCTTTTGTTATATTATATCAAAAAAAGATTAACTCTAATAACTAATTTTAAAAAACACATTTTTTGAATAAAACGTTTACATGAATTTCTCTATCAATAAATTTCATAGACTTGATTATCAAACCGTGTTCCCGTAGATTACTTAAATACCTACAAATTTTCTAAAACAATAAAAATGAACTCATTTTTTGAACACAACAAAATAATATTAACTAAACAAAACTAGAAAACGTAATTTTTACTGCATCACAAGCAAATAAAAATTAATATGTAGCCAAGAGTCATAATTCAGGATTTCCCTGGGGGGTGGCCAGCAGTCAGCAGTACCTGGGGTGGGGCCCGGCACCCCCGGGCCCGCCTGTAGTTACGCCAATGGTAAAAATATACGTAGGGTGCCATTTAAAAATCAAAACTTGTCATCATTTCCGGTAAAAGAGGAAGTGACCAAAACCAATTGAATGCCCAATTAATCCTAACTTATGTCATATACTAACATACCAAATAAATCTCATTTAAAGAAATAAAAAAGTTATAGGGGTGATAGCCACTTTGAGACGCACCCGGTATACTTCAAGCTACGGCACTGATTAGCACGATTACATTTTCTGATAATAATTTATCTCAATAAATAGTTCTTATCGAACTTTTTTTACAAACACACAATCGAATAATAAACGCACAACAATTTAAGCTAAAACTAACGCTATTGAATGCAATTAATAGCGCAAGAATGTTAGGAAAAATATCAAAAACAGACTGCCAAAGGTAAGAAAATGATTTTAATATTAAAGAAAAGTACAGACATGTTTCTTTAGAATGTGGCTACCTACCACGTTACCTTACTACTCCCGTTAAAAATCGTTTTTCAAGGACAACGGCCTTTATCAGAACGCAGTGGCCAGTTCAGTTTAATAGTAAACAATAATTATACAACGGAGTTATTACGTTCTAGTGTATAATAAAACAAAACTCGCCGAGTGTATACGAAGTAATTCAAGTGTTCTCTTGTGCGTGACAGGTATAAAGTATGTATTGTTGATTTTTAGGTTTAAGAAACGCAGACTGAAAAGTAACATGGACACAGACGTTAACGACGACAATGAATCTCAAGACAGATGGAATGCTTTATTTCAACATACTTTAAAAGTAGATGCGAGCCTAGAGGACACAAAAATTTTTAGTTTTTCCGGTAGGTAACCACATATTTGTTATAAACACACTACCGTGTGCGAACAACTAGCGATGGGAACTATCGAATGAATTATACTATCGAATGGTTACTGAATGAATGATTTCAACTATCGAATGGTTTTATTCGAATAAAATCATTCATTCATTGGTACCCATTCATTTGTATACTAAAGCATATGTGACAACCTCGCGGTGCGACTAAATGGTTGTCGTTAGGTCTGTTCGTTTTCCTGTTATTATCGATTCTGAATCGTCCTAGAACTCTCCAGCGTATGCGCAAATGAAATAATGTCTTCATATTTCCTTCTGCGCAGACGCATCACAATTCTAGGACGGTTCAGAATCGGTAATAACAGGAAAACGAAAAAAGCTGTTGAGCCACTACTATCGAATGCTTTTCGTAAATGAAATTTAGTATTCGTTTGATTTTTGTGTGCGTCAGTGCATTATTAGTTCTTCCAAATTTTTATAACTTCGCCGTATAAATACTGTGCTATTTTTGCGTTTATTAAAATAGTTAAAATACTAAAATAGTAGTTTTTTTTTAATTTTATTTATTGACGATTGTGTGCATGTGCAGGTGGTCAAAATTTTTCCGAAAATTTGTGTGGTTTTTCGTAGTCCGATCTTTCAATTATTTAATTTTATATGCTATATGGTCTATTTTTTAATGGGAAATTTTGAGAAGTAGCATTTTAAGAGAGATGAGATGAACTTACAATTAATTTTAAAAATACATATTTGTATTTTAGATGTTTTAATAATATGAATTAGTTGAACTTAATAATCATATTTAAGTAATGTGGTTAAGTAAATGGGGGGTTATCGAACTCAAACTATGGGGTGAGAAAATTAAAATGAAAGTTTTACACGTGCCAATTTAAAAAAAAGTTAACGATGTTTGTATTTTGTTTATGCTAATTCTCTTACATGTAGTTTTTGCGAAGAAATATTTGATTTATTTTTAAAGTAAATGCCAGTAAAAGTAAATATAATTTTTAAATAGTAATATAAAGCACCTAATATAAATAATTTTGATTTCTAATTTTTATTTTTATTTTCCTTCCATTACATTGCATGCTTAGAAAATTAATAAATGTTTGTATTTCATGATTTTAAAATTTGTTGTTAATATAACAAATTAGTTCTGTAATTATTATTCTTTAATAAACCAACGTTGCCAAAAAATTTAGAGACTATATTATTTTTAAATAGGATCTAATATAAATAATTTTGACATCTAATTTGTTGTTTATATTTTGCTACTACTTAAAATAATGTTTATATTAAATGATTTTAAATTTTGTTGTTAATAGGTATAACAAATTATTACTGTTATTACTATTTATTAAACCAGTCTTTGCTTAAAAACATTAAAAATCATTTTCCTACATCCAAAATAACCAGTATTATTGCAGTGTAACAACAGAATATTAATAAAAAAAATGCAGAATATATAGACATACTGTCCCTAACTAACTAAAGCCAAACAATAATATTCTTTGCTAATATCAACTAATACCAAAATATGGCAACAACGCCCTTCATTATGTATTTTCTGTGTAAATACTAGCACCTCAATAAAAAAAATAATGTGTCCTTATTTTTATCTGACTCCGCAAAAAATCAAAGATGCCGGCTTCTTTCATAGCATTGCCACCGACCGCTGTCGGGTTTCTCGGAAAGAAACCTACGTCGCCGGGCGACAACTAAAATTCAGTTAATATTTTATTATAATCGATCCTGACGAATAAATGAATTTTATAAATGAATGGTTTTTGCTGCCGAATTACTAGAATACAATGTTTCAAGGCAGATGACGGAATCTATTCGATAATTTTTATTCGAATAGTTTTCAACGAATGTTTTCTTACTAACTATCGAATTATTCGAATGAATTGCAACTAACGAATGTTTCGATAGTATTCATTCGATAGTTCCCACTACTAATATTTTTCATTTTATTGATTTTATGGAAAGCACTGTTCATTAAAATGTTGTATCCTATGTTATAGGGCTTGTTTCTCTCTACAATTTCCTGTCTCAGAATGTACCGTTCGTGTCGGGGAAGGGATCATAGTTTCATAGTTGTCGATTTTCGACAGAAATCAGTACATGTATATTATTTCGTATATTTTTCATTTTATTGATTTTATGGAAAGCACTGTTCATTAAAATGTTGTATCCTATGTTATAGGGCTTGTTTCTCTCTACAATTTCCTGTCTCACAATGTACCGTTTGTGCCCAGAAAGGGTTCATATTTTCATAGTTGTCGATTTTCGAAAGAAATCAGTACGTTTATTTTATTTCGTATATTTTTCATTTTATTGATTTTATGGAAAGCACTGTTCATTGAAATGTTGTATCCTATGTTATAGGGCTTGTTTCTCTCTACCATTTCCTGTCTCACAATGTACCGTTCGTGTCCAGGAAGGGTTCATAATTTCATAGATGTCGATTTTCGAAAGAAATCAGAACATGCATATTATTTCGTATATTTTTCATTTTATTGATTTTATGGAAAGCACTGTTCATTAAAATGTTGTATCTTATGTTATAGGGCTTGTTTCTCTCTACAATTTCCTGTCTCACAATGTACCGTTCGTGTCCAGGAAGGGTTCATAGTTTCATAGATGTCGATTTTCGAAAAAAATCAGAACATGTATATTATTTGGTATATTTTTCATTTTATTGATTTTATGGAAAGCACTGTTCATTAAAATGTTGTATCCTATGTTATAGGGCTTGCTTCTCTCTACAATTTCCTGTCTCAGAATGTACCGTTTGTGTCGGGGAAGGGATCATAGTTTCATAGTTGTCGATTTTCGACAGAAATCAGTACATGTATATTATTTCGTATATTTTTCATTTTATTGATTTTATGGAAAGCACTGTTCATTAAAATGTTGTATCCTATGTTATAGAGCTTTTGTTTCTCTCTACAATTTCCTGTCTCACAATGTACCATTTGTGTCGGGGAAGGGATCATAGTTTCATAGTTGTCGATTTTGCAGGAGGTCAAAAAGTTCAAAAATCTTTTCATTTTACGTATTTATCTATACTAGTTTTAAATTTCAGAGAATGGAGTCGATGTTGAAATAACCCAACAGCAGCTAGATAAATGTCTAGGTTACTTGGTTTCAACACATGACCTCTACCTTCAATTCAGAGATGCTCCGCTCAATTTTAGTCAGAAACAGTTCCTTTTAGCCACGGCCGGTTATGTAGCTCGCTACGAACAGCATTTCAACAAGCTCAATTCAAAGCGTATTTTTGGGATGTTAATGTCTATGATGGATGTAAAAAACGTATCCACGCATCATAAACTGAAATCCAGATACGTAGATCTTCTGAGATCCTTCTTTGAGCACGATTCTGGATTGAGATGGTTAATAGAGATGAACGGTTGGACCGATATTCATGAATTGGTTATCGAGTGTCAAAATGGAGAAGAGGAAGGAAACATGTCAGTAAAAATTTATTTATCATATTATATTACCGGGTGTAGTGTTGTAAATGGAAATATTTCCTTTGGAAATATTTCTATGGAAATGGAGATATTGGAAATTTCCAAACGTGTCTCGGAAATATTTTTAAAAATATTTAAATCTTGTCATTAACGATTCAAACCCGATGTTTATTAATATATCTTTCATATTTTGTAACCCTATATACATTAAACTTACTATAGAACAGTTTTACAAACATAATATGGTGAATATATCGAGTTTGAGGACTCGCATTTCTACGGGAAAGTCCCGAGCTCGTTGGTCGTAGCGTAGGGGAATCCCTGATCGAGATTCATTTTGCTGTAAAAGTATTTTGTGATATTAGAAGGGTAATTCAGAATAATCTTGCATTGTCCTCACTTCACGACAAAGAAAAATCCGAATTGTTGGAGTTTGTTGACAAAAGAGAAAAATTTGTTATTAAACCCATTCATTATGCTGCAGAATTACTAAATCCAAAATCACAAGGTTCTGATCTTGATGAAACCCAAATTCTTTCTGTCATAGAATGCATACTTAGTATATCAAAAAATAAACTCAATGTAAAGGAGCAAGAAATAATAGATGAAATAGCAGATTACCGTTGTAGAAGTGGCAAGTTATTTGGAAATAACTTCATATGGAAAAGTAGGATTAATAACCCAGTCTCCTGGTGGAAAGGAACACAGTCCTTTCTTCATCTTCATTATCACAAGTATAGCTTCACGAATTTTGATGATGCCAGCATCTTCGGCTGCAACGGAACGCAGTTTTAGCGTTTATAGTCATATTCATTCAAAAAAGAGAAACAGGCTTACTAATGATAGAAACGCTAAGCTACCCTATGTATCCCACAGTGAAAACTTGCTGAAGAAAATAGGAAACGGCAATAGATCAATTTTTATTTCCGATACTATTGAAGATTTTGAGGAAGTAGACTGGCAAGAAGATGTTATTGAGTGTGATGCTGATGACAGCGATGAAGATATGCCTCTTGCTCGACTAGTGTGTCAAAAATATTTTTTTTGTACAAATTTAACCTTAATTTATTTTTTAATTTGAAGAATAACTCATTTTGTGTTTTGCGATGTTTTTTTATGATTTTTATAAATAAATATTTCAGTTTCTTATTTTTTTAAAATATTTCATATATTTCCAATATTTCCATATATTTCCAATATTTCAGGAAATATTTCCGGAAATATATTTCTGGAAATTTTACATCACTATCCACTACTAACCGGGTGCGTCTAAAAAGTGGCTCACCCCTATAACTTATTAATTTTTTCAGATAAAAAAACGAAATTTGGTATGTTACTATACGATATAAATTAAGATTGATTGGCGTATTCAATAATTGTTTTTGGTCACTTCCTGTTTCACTGGAAGATTTGATTTTCTGATGAAGAATTTTGATTTTTAAACGACACCCTCGGTATATTTCTACTTCATTCGATAGAAAATGACACTCTGAATAGAATTACATATTATATGTCAAGAGATCTCTCGATCTAGAGTGCCATGGCTGTGTTAAAAACACTAATTTTTAATCAAGGAGCCTTGGAAAAATAGATTTGATTGTCTAATGTTTGACCGATTAAAACCGTATTTTTTGACCGTATTTTTAATCATATTTCAATTTTTTCAAATGGAACAAGAGTGGCTCATGAGCATATTTGGAAAAAGCATTTTTTACGAATAATTTGGTATCACACACATGGTATTTCGAGTCAAATTGTCGTTATGAACCGCATGCTACAATTTCAAATAAACCATATGCTAAAATGTCAAAAATTGACATATGACAGGTCATTTAGAGTGTCATTTTCTATCGAATAAAGTAGAAATATAGAGAGGGTTCCGTTTAAAAATCAAAAGTTGTAGTCATTTCCGGTGAAACAGGAAGTGACTAAAAACAATTGAATACTCCAATCAATCCTAATTTATGTCATATACAGTACGTCTGTCCGTTCTGTAGCTACGGGGTATCCGTGAGAGGGGAAACGACATTCTCTCGATGTTTTTCGTAAAAAATTAGACGACGCGTCCCATCAATAAAAATTCGACAAATTTGCAAGTGGCCAATAAAATGAGTGGGCGGAGCGATTTGCGGTGACGTACTCGTCAAGTCGACGTATAAAATATATTGCTGTTTATTTAAATGTTTTTTGTCCGCATTCCTTTCATAGACACAGATCCAGCAGATGTACCGTACTAACATACCAAATCTCGTTTTTTATCTGAAAAAATAAGAAAGTTATAGGGGTGAGCCAATTGTTTGAGCTTTTATCGACAGTATCGACTGATTTAAATGGTTTTATTATTCCTTTTAGGTATAATTTATTGTCGAAAATTCTTCAGAAAGCATCTAAAGTCGCTCCAAAAATCTGCTTGCACATTATTAGACAAGTTACACAAAATTTGATGACAGTGGCGTTGAAAAATGTCCCTCAAACTAAACAGGAACCAGTTGTACCACTTCCAATATCCGAAAGCAATAGACTCCTGCCATATTCTACATGTGTTGTGGAAATTCTAGAAAGACTTTTGGCCGGTCCCACAGTGGACATTTTAAGTTATTTTGTCAAACTTCAAATTAGAGAAGCCTGCGATACTCTATCAATGCTAACTAACAATACAGAATTTTCTTTAAAACTGGATCGCATCGTAATAATATTGTCATTTTACGAAATGACTGATTTGTTCGATGGTATTAAAGTGGTCAACCACGATCCTATTGCACTCAGTGGTTTCTTGCAAATTGTAGAACGAGAAATGAATAAAGGTAAATATAATATTATATTGTTTTAAAAAAATAATACATTTACATTCATTAAAATCTCATTCGAAAAGCATAAAATGTGATACCAGAAACGTAAAAAAACAAGTGCGTTAACCTAACCTAACTTCTTATACCGTATGATCGAAAAAAAAAGTCGTCAGCGATGGCTATGAAAAGAAAATCGCTGTCATTTTATATGGGGAATGTCATCGATATTCATTTCCAAGCCAACTAGACGCCGTTTTTTTTTTCGGTCCTATGGTATATTTGTTATATTATTAATTAATATTAACTTGCGCGGATCTTTCATTTGAATCTTTGTTGCAATGTTGCAGAAAAAACGTTTTAATCACCATTCAAAAACAATGTTTCTGTAGCAAGGTTTCATCAATCACGACACAACGTTTAGAAATCAACATTACAAAGCAGACTGTTTGGGGATTGACTGCAATGTTGCAAATGTAATGTGAGGTTTTTTGCTTGGTGGGTTGATTTTAAAATTAGTGCTTTTGATGCAGCCATGGCACTCTAGATTGAAATTTAAAATACTATTTTTCTTAAGCAAAGATGTCAAAAGGTGACATATGCTATTTCATTCTATTCGGTAGATCATTTTCTACCAAATAAAGTAAAATAATACCAAGGGTATCATTTAAAAATCAAGTTGTAGTAATTTCTGGCGAAATAGGAAGTGACCAAAACTAATTCAAGACGCCAATTAATCCTGATCTATGTCATATACGTACCAAACCTCGTTGCCACTTTTGAAAAATACCTGGTATTATATAGTTTATAGTTCAGAATGATTTTTTTTTCAGAGCACATCAATACAATACTAGAATTATTTTATTACGCGCAAAAATACTGGAAATGTGTATGCAGAAAAATGCCGAAGTATTTTGTCAAAGAAAAACCAATAGATATAGAAGATGAACTGATGTCCTTTCAAGTTGAACCGATAGTAGTAATCGCAGAAAAATTATTCGGTGTACCAATGACTGCAGAAGAAGAATTAAGAAATTGTTTCTTAGCAGATTTACTAAATTTATATAGCGTCAATTGCCTTCAATTAGGTGGGTAATCTATTTTTTTAAATAACTAGGGGTAAAAATACCGATCCATATACACACATCATCCAACTTTTTGTCTGCCAGAGGAGTTTTTGGGTCTGTGTGTCACAGAGGTGTAATTTCGGTCTTAAAACTGGATACAAGTCGAAAATGCAAAGTTCAGAAAAAACGGGATGTACTGTACGTCTGCTGGATCTGTGTCTATGAAAGGAATGCGGACAAAAAACATTTAAATAAACAACAATATATTTTATTCGTCGACTTGACGAGTACGTCACCGCAAATCGCTCCGCCCACTCATTTTATTGGCTACTTGCAAATTTGTCGAATTTTTATTGATGAGACGCGTCGTCTAATTTTTTTACGAAAAACATCGAGAGAATATCGTTTCCCCTCTCACGGATACCCCGTAGCTATAGAACGGACAGACGTACTGTATATGTGTGTGTTTATCTAAATATTAAAGTGAAAGCAACGAATTTAAATAGGTAAACTTTGTAATATATCTTATTAACAATACAATGCAAAAAGTTTTATCAAAATTCGTTCACAGCAAATGAATTCCGAGGTTTGTATCTCATAAGGGCTTAAAGCACTCCACTATATGGAAATCATTTCTGCATCGGCTGGAAATAAATTAAGAAATAAAACCATTTTTTTATATGAAAATAAGCATTTTAATGCATGGAAGATGTGTATCAAATATAACATCGGAGATATTTTGAAAAAAAATAGAAAATTTTACCACCCTGTATCTGACAAAATAAGATGTTAAGGATATATATTCATATAAAGTTTTTTTTCTTAGAATAGGTCCAAGAATCACCTCCTTAAATATTAGAATGTCAATAAGGAACACCCTGTATGTCTTCAAATTAAGTTTCTTGACATAATCTCTCTGTGGATTTTTTTAAAGTCATGATACTTTGAATAAGAAGACTAAGGAAGGAGCATATCAAAAATCTTAGGTCCACTGCGATGGGCCTCAAATATGGCCGACTTAAATTCCGGTTTATCAGTGCCGTTCTAATTTTATTTAAAAAATGTAAAACTATGATGTAGGGTAGACGCAATATTTTTTTTTATTTTACGTTGTGAATAAATGTTGGTAGTTATTAAAATTGTTATAAAAATATAAAATTCTAATAAAAATAGATAAGTTATAATAATTATTTATAACCATAAACATCCGATACGCTACTGACGCAGGTACGTCAAATTGACGTATCTAAATTATTTGACATCTAATCTTTGACAAGTAGTAAATAAAAACAAAAATGCAAGAAAAAATATATAATTAGTTAATTTAGGTGAATTTCATAAATGATCGGTTTACTACACGTATGTTTATTATATAGTCACTTACTAGTGAAAAGTTGTTCCATTATTTCACTTGATTTTTGCCGAGATCTACCGCACGCTACACAACCAACTATTTTAGAGTCTTTTTCGATAAATCGCGACAGTGTCACTGTTTATTTAAGTTCTGTCACAATTTCCATCTAGATTTACTACCTTTATACAACTATCAGTTGTAGAATAAATAATAAATAACATAAAATAAGCTCCGTAAAGACTGACAAATCCACAAAATTTCAAATCAAATTCAAATGTGTCAAATGAATCGTCAAACAGAACTGTCAAGGATCCCCACCCTAGAGTCCTTTTTGCGCCCACCATTTCCTTAGTCTTCTTATTCAAAGAGAATTATTAATATTTAATGTTTAGGTTATGAAATTCGTAAACATCTTTCCAAGCTGCCACTTCAAACTGAAATAACTGCCCTCGACTGCTTGATCAAATCTAAGCACTTGTATTCACGGAAGAACTTGGCCATTGTGTTTCAAGTCTTGATCTACTGTCTAAGGGATTTTACAAGATATGTGAAAAAATATCCGACGCAAGGAAAATTTGATCAAGACCAACAGTTTGCCGACACACTTTTGCGAGCTATAGTCATATATTTGGAGAATTTTGACCTTTCTTGGCGAGAAAGTATTGGTAGTATCGAGTTAACATGTTTGGTTTATCAATTCTTATATTATTCTACACAGTGGCCGCCTCAGGTAATAAAATTAATAAAGTAAACGCCACGAATGTTTGGGAGTGATTTGACAGTTTGCTGGAATTATTATTGATTATTTTATTTTTGTGTTGTAGTATAAATTTGGATATTTTTATCCATGTTAAGGAAATAATTTTATTAACAAACATCATATTCAATACATTATGATGAATAATGCAGCAGAATCTTATGAATTTCGTCATTTTAGGAACTCCATGCATATCAACTGGCGAAACCTCATTTTCATTGAAAAGTTTTCAATATTCCTGTTTTAAGTAATTTGATACTAATAAATATTTTTGTAATATTCATCAATAATAATAAATTTAATATTTCATGCACAAAAACATAAACAACAGATTATATATAGATTATTATATGACTTGAAACACCACGGCGCTGGAATTAAGTTTTATGTGACCTTGAACAGATTAGTTCACATGGTAGCAACCGATGAATCACTCCCAAACATTCGTGGCGTTTACTATACCCGATAATTGTAGTTGATTTTTAATTCTCATGGTTCCGAAGCTGGCAACAGTAAATTTTGTAAAGGTGCGGAAAATGTTTGGCGCGTTCGGTTCGGTTCGGCGCAACGTACTGACTACACAGCGCGCGCGGCGTGTTTGGTTCGTTCGGAGTGTTTTGTTGCAAGTGAATACCCACCTTTATATTATCAACAATCGTTTATGAAACAAGTAATTAAGTAAATCGAATTCCATAGAACGAGTTAATTATTTTAACGTAATTCAGTGTGCATTATACAATGGCATTTTTTTCTGAGTGTATAATAAAAAACTTTTTTTGTAGGAATTTTGTATAAATGCCAACTTAAGTATGTGTTTGGTTGGTATTTCAGGAAAATATTTAACTTCTACTATAAAGTTTTGGGTTCGTTGAAGGACTATTAGAGCTACAATTTAAAAATATTTTTACAAGATACAGAGTGTCCCAAATAAATAAAAAATATCAAATTTTTTTAAATGGAACACCCTGTATATTATTGCATTTTTAGTTTCTACGATTAAAATAAAGGTAAATTTGATTAAGGTTTATTACGCTTAAACCTTACCGTTTTTGAAGTATTTTCAATTTTACGAAATTGCAGTATAAATTTTAAGGCTTCATTTCTCCGAGGATATCAAAGTTTTTAATACCAAATATTTACTGAAGTTTATTTATTGATCAGTTATTGTGTTGCAATAATAAAAATTATACTACCTTATACAGAGTGTCGAAAAATTTATTTTAAATAATTACAAGCTTTAAACGGCAATAACTTATTTACTTTAAATAGAACACCCTGTATATTTTATGAGAATCAGATGCACAATTTAATTGTCTATCAAATTGTATTATACCACTTCTTACCTATTCCTCCAAGTTTTCGTAGAAAATGCATTTTCTTATAATTTACACCTCATTTATCAATATACCCATGGAATATTTATATTTTAGATTGTTTTTAAAATAACAAATGTACAAAATGTACAGGCAAGTAATATTATAGTTTTTAGTAAAACGATAATATTACTAGCCCATTTGTATACAAAAAGAAAACTATTTAAATCTTTATAAAAGAGTATACCATTAATTAAATATACCACCAGTATTTCCGCCCAAATACTAATTAATTACATACTTAATTATGTTCGTTAATAAATTATTCTAAATAAATGTGGATTTGAATCAGAAATCAATATAATAATAAGTTATGAAAATGAACGTCTCTGTTGTTATAAATAAGCATTTGTCAACAAATTAAATATAATTTTTAAGGTGTTACTTTTACACACTGTCTAATACACATACATAATTCAGTTTTTTAATTCTTGATGCAATTATTATTAATCAACGCAAACAGTTAATTAATGTAGTTTGAATACTGGAATCATACTAATTGGTCCTCTTTAACAAATATTTAAACAGTTTTTTTTTTATTTTTTAATGAAATAAACGAACTATATCGACAATATTAGTATCTGTACTCTTTAAAAATTTGGTACATCTTTAAAAATAATCTAAAATATCAGTATTCCATGGGTATATTGATAAATGAGTTCTAAATTACAAGAAAATGCATTTTTTACGGAAACTTGAAGAGATAGGTAAAAAACGGAATAATACAATTTGATAGACAATTAAATTGTGCATCTGATTCTCATAAAATGTACAGGGTGTTCCATTTAAATCAAACAAGTTATTGCCCTTTAAAGCTAGTAATTATTTAAAATAAATTTTTAGACACTCTGTATAAGGTAGTAAAGTTTTTATTATTATAACACAATAACTGATCAATAAATAAACTTCAGTAAATATTTAGTGTTAAAAACTCTGATATCCTCGGAGAAATGAAGCCTTAAAATTTATACTGCAATTTCACAAAATTGAAGATATTTCAAAAACGGTAAGGTTTAAGTGTAATAAACCTTAATCAAATTTACCTTTATTTTAATCGTAGAAACTAAAAATGTAATAATATATGGGGTGTTCCATTTAAAAAAATACAACTTTAATATTTTTTATTTATTTGGGACACTCTGTATCTTGTAAAAATATTTTTAAATTGTAGCTCTAATAGTCCTTCAACGAACCCAAAACTTACAATTTCTAAAAATCTAGCCGTTTAGCTACAATACTCCGTGTCGTATGTGGTGAACAACCCTGTAGAATTTGAGAGTGGTTGCGAAATTATAGACAATATACAATTTTTATAGATCCTCATGATCCAGGCTATATTTTGTTATTTATTACAATTGTCAGAACTTTTATGATCCTTATTGCTATAGGCCCTATACTAATTCTATCATAAAAATTTAAGGTTGTGAGAAAAGCTCTGGAGATTTTGAATACCACAATATCAAAACATATGTCTCCAAATATGGCACTATTAGTTGACACCACGCAAAATTCATCATTAAGTGAATTAGGATCTCTATTATTCACAAAATGCTTCAGTACAGACTCGGAAGTACGAAACAGTTCACTGACAGTGGTATGCACTATATGTCATAAAGCAAACAAAGGTAATGCTGTAATATTATTCTGTAGTATATTTTAAGATACAATATATATTACTTTGTAAGGATTCACGTCTTTTAAAAAAATAATTGAAGAGGCTTTACTGCCAGATTTAATTCTAACCATGGCTTTAAGAGATTTAGACTGTAATGTTCGAGCTACGGCATTAAAATGCCTTCAAGAAATCATAGAAATGAAAGAAACTGGTCAATGTTTGCTGAAGAATGGTCTTGTTGTAAGTACAAGTTAGTTATTACGATTTCTTTCAAACTATTTTATATTATCTTAAATAACATATGTTTGTAGGACAAAATTATAGGAGTATTTTCTAATGAGAATAATTCAGTAGTTATTAGAGAGGCCATAATTCTAGTAGGAAAAATGTACCGAAATAATAATGTGGCACAAAACGATATTTCGCACATATACACTGCATTATTAAAACTAGCTATTGAAGAAAACACGGAAATTCAACAGTATGCTGTTGAGTTTTGGGAGCATGTAATAAGAAACCAACTAGAGAAACAAGGTAGTGAACACAGTTTTTTTCACGCACCATGGATCGTTAAAGCTTTTTAAGATCTAATTTAGATACAAATTTATGAGTTTCCACTCCCAAGTAGCATTTTCACGACTTGCGACCACATGTTTACTAAACACAACGTTGGATTAGTTACAAAAAATAGTTAGCTCCAAAGATATTTAAACTCGGGTTTAGACAAAAGATTTTTGCGCTGTTTTTTTTTTTTTTTTTGATCGTACGGTATATTATTAAAATATCAACTATTAGATATCACTAAAGAACGAAAATACGAGATATACCGTATGATCGAATAAAAAAGGCGTCAGCGATGGCTATGAAATGAAGATCGCTGTCATTTTATATGTAAAATTATATGGGAAATGTCATCGATCGTCATTTCCAAGCCAACTGGACGCCGTTTTTTTTCGATCATACGGTATTTATATAAATACAGTTTTTAAACTTTTAAGGCAGCAGTAGTTATAATATAGGAAATTCAAATAATTAATTTTCTGACAGATGGACATAAATTGTCTGACTGTTTGACACTAAAAAGAAGCTAGATAAAATCAAGAAAAATATACGTTTTCAAACTAAATCTTAAATAACTTAAAAACGATTTATTTTAGGTATAGGAATATGTCTAGTTAAAACGTAACGAATTGGAAAACCTTTTCACTAGTGAAATAAAAAAATGGGTTTCCATTTGAAAAAAAAATATTTATGATAATTTTTTAATCGCTCAATTCCATGACAGATATAGTCTATTAAAATGAATAACTTTGAATTTTGACCGTTATTTTTTACCAACATGGCAAATATAAAATCCCTCTGTCAAAAAAGTTACTGATATTCTTTAAATTGAGTGCCTGAACGAATCAGATAGGTAACTCTTTTTACTTTCGTGAAATAGAAAAGGAAAATAATAAAACAAGTGACAGTTCTTCCTCTTCTTGCAAAAATCAAAACGAAATGTCATAATTGACAAAAGTAAAATGTCATCAGCTTTTGACATTTCTAAATATTAGACCAATGCCGTCTCTAATAGAACAGCCACGGAGCTTGAGCGTTGTGCGACCTGCAGTTTCCTTAGCTAGATCTTGATATGGTACCATTTAACTTAAACTAAACTGCCCGTGAAATTAAATACCACAGCAATTTTTTTACTCATATTCAACGAGTTGTAATTTTGAAAAAAATGGATCGATTTTGTTGATTTAAAAAAAAACTAACTAAGAATTATTAAGTATTCTGGGTATAGCTAAGACTAATATCTCGGGACGTATTGGGATAATATTCTGAACTTAACAGCCCATAAGGATAAAAAAATAATTTTTCTTTTTCGCTGGTCGTATTTTTAAGAGATCCTGTATTAAACTGCGTTAGTTAAATCATTTTTTTTTAATTTCACATTGTAAGTGTAGCGAATATCCTACAATTTTAAAGCTAATTTCAGTTTTGTTTTGGTTAGCATATCTCTTAAGAAAGGTAGAAAAAATACAAGTTAGAGTAAAAATCGATTATCTTTTATTCCAGATGAGTTATCGTAAAAATTCCAAATACGTCCCGAGATATTAGTCTTAGCTATACCCAGAATACTTATAATTCTAGTTAATTTTTTTTGGCAAAATGGCAGCAACACAAAAATTACATTCCTTTTTTTCACACCCTGTATATCATAGAAAACTAAATCTCAAAATCTTTAAAATATAGAAAAATCTACGAAAAACGATCTTACAACTCGTTGAAAATGAGTAAAAAAATCGCTGTGGTATTTAATTTGACGGGCAGTACGAGGAATCCGTGAGAGGGGAAACGATATTCTTTCAATGTTTTTCCTAAAAAATAGACGACGCGTCCCATCAATAAAAATTCAACAAATTTGCAAGTAGCCAATAAAATGAGTGGGCGGAGCGATTTGCGGTGACGCACTTGTCAAATCGACGTATAAAATATATTGCTGTTTATTTAAATGTTTTTTGTCCGCATTCCTTTCATAGACACAGCGATCCAGCAGATGTACTGTAATTTAAAATGTTTATTCAGTAAAAATAAAATGAAACCATTGAAAAATAACTTAAAAGCTGAAATAAATAAATTCAGTCTGAAAATATATAAAAAATAATAATTATTCGATATTTTAAACAAAGAAAATTACCCCTTGATTTAATTTCCTAAATAGAAAATGCCATTGACAATTACTGGGGCCTGATAATTGATAATTAAGTAAATATCTGCTTCGATTTATACTGTTTATAGTTGGCGTATACGTATGGTTTGCATACTCCACCTACAAACTGCTTTATAACTACTTTATAACACATATTGGCCTTGTTTGCCAGTTGAATAAAAAATTACTTATTAAGATTCGGAGGCCCCCTAAAAGACGGGGCCCGGGGCGGATCGCCCCTTCCGCCCCCCCCCCTAGTCCGCCACTGTCAAAAAAGGTTAAAATTAGGTCCTAATAAACGTCTAAGAAACCCGTATTAATTATTGTTATAGTCTGATTAATAATAAGTAATTTTATAGGAATGATTGACGATGAATTTCCTCCGGTAATATTTTCCAAGGAATGTAGAAAAATAGTCAAATTGGACGACAAAGAGATTAGAAAGCGTCTATTTAAGGCACTTGACAATATGAGTGGTGCCGGTTGCTTTAATGTGTTTCAAAAAATTTTGAAACAGGAGCCTTCAACTAAGAAGGTATTCAGATCAGTTGTTAATATCGTTACAAAATTATTAAAGCTCTTACAGCAGTACGAGGTACGATTAATTATTGTTTTTTTTTTCACTCCGATATCTAAACTGAATTTTTAGGTCACGCCTGAATTTATTTTATTTAACCAGACGTATCCAAATTTATGGTCGATTCAAAGTATAATGTCACCATCAAACCAAACCGAGGGAGACGATAAGATGAAAGAAATTATAGAAGACAGCGTAATGGAAATGATAAACGAAAGTGAATATTGCGCTATGAACAAAGTAAGATTTTATTTTATTAATAGTTTTCAGTGTAACGTTATAAGCTAGCAAATTTAAATTCAACATTATTTTAGATACATTCGCCTTACACTGAAACTAACAGCGAAAATGGTGAACCTCAGGAAAGAGTACCGCTCAATCAACACAATCGAGTTAGCACAGTTGATTTTATGGACTTTCTGTACAAAAAGTTGCCAAATTTAAACCAAGATAGTTTAGAAATATGTTCTAATAACAACAATAGTAACATTTATAAAGACGTTAATCTATACAATAATACCTGAAATATAATTATTACTCAATTTTTGTAATATAAAACTATTTAATATATTTTTTTAGAGACTGTCTATTAAATACACCTATGATTAGTACAGGTGTAGTCAGTGTGGATCAAAGTTCGTTCTTTCTCATTGTCTTTAATCCATTTTTTATAAGAAGGAGGCTTAATTAGTGATGGGATAACTCGAGCGAAGCGATCCTAGAATGAAATAACACAATGTATTTAAGAAAACAGAAGAAATTTCGCTTTAAATATAATATTCACACATCATCTTATTTAGACCCCTCATACAAAGCAAAATTATTCATAATATCAATACATAGTTTATTAACGTATTTTTCATTTAATTAATAGAGAACAACGGCATACGGTCGAGTCGGCCGCTCCTGGCACGTATACGTACATATACGTAGACGTAAAGAATCTTTTACGTGTATAAAAAATAGAAAATATAAGAAACGCGCATGTGTACGTAAACGTTTACGTGTTTGTAGGCCGATTCGACCGTATGCCGTTGTTCTCTAATGAACGGGAAAAGACGTAGTTTTTGAAGAAAAACTACACGTAGTTAATCAGGTAAATTACGTCTTAATTAACTACTTCCGAACCCTGCCTGTCGGACACACATCGGACCCAGGGTTCGGAAAACTACATGTTATTTTTAAAAACTACATAAACTTCATCACACCTAGTTAATGTAGTTTATGTAGAGGGTGTAGTTTATGTAACTTATGTATGTAACTTTCAAATGTCAAAGGTTTGAGGGAGGTTATAATAAGTTGAAGCTTTAAAAACACATAATGTATTTAAGAAAACAGAAGAAATATGACTAAATATAATATTTACATCATATTATCTCTATTACACCTCATACAAAAGAAAATTATTCATAATATCAAAACATAGTTTATTAACGTAGTTTTCATGTAGTTAATGAAGGGGAAAAGACGTAGTTTTTGAAGAAAAACTACACGTAGTTAATCAGGTAAATTACGTCTTAATTAACTACTTCCGAACCCTGATCGAACCTTTGCATCAGACAGTATATTTCAATAGGCCCATCCATTGCATTTTTTTTTATTTTAATCCAATTTTAATCAATGGTTTTAAAACTTGCCCTTGACATCTGTCATCTGTCACATCTATTGTCATTTGTCATCTGGTTTTTTGTGAGGATTCTGTTTGGTTTTGCAGTTTTTGAATTTTAGCAATTTATTAAATAAAATAGCAGGAAATATAGTTAAATTTATTTAACTATCTGCAGTATAAACATGGAAGACGACGAAGTAGAAAAATTTGAAATTACGGATTACGATTTGGAAAATGAATTCAATATTAACCGAAGCCGAAAAGGATTTTCCAAACATCAACAAATTTACGGTATGAATTAAAAACTTTATCGTTTAGAATATTATTTGCGAAGCTTTTGTGAAATATTTATGTATTTTATTTATTTCTTGAAGGTATCTGGGCAGATGACAGCGATGACGACGGTGAAGTAAAAAGGCCTGTTCGGGGAGGTAACAAACCGAAAAATTATACTGCACCTATAGGATTTGTAGCAGGAGGAGTACAGCAGGCCGGTAAAAAGAACAAACAAAAAGAAATCAAAATGGAACAGGAAGATTTAGACACAGAAAAACCGACTACATCGTTTAAGACTAGAGATAGTTCGGATTCAGATGATGAAGTTGTTCCTAGAAGAGGTATTTTTTTTTATGTCACTTATACTCTTTTGAGATTCCCCAACGACTCTTTTCACTAATAACTGCTAGTGTTGTAATACGCTTGCCGATTTATTTTTGAAGAATGTTCCCTGAGAATAGGAAAATGAACATTCAAATGTCAAGATAAATATAACATATCTTGCCAGTTATGATCTTGTTTTTATGAAACGTAAATTGTGCGTGTGGTTCGTTCAAATGAACGAATCGTAGAAGTCGATTCAATATCATAAATTGAATCGTGTGATTCGATTCACTAAAAAGAATCGTAATGCCTATCACTGCTTTCGACCTCTAGCATAAAACAAGAAAAACAATTAAAAAATGCAATACAAGTTCACTTAATAGCGCGTTCGCGGCGTGACGTCACAGCTCGGAAGTCCTCGTTTTCGGTCATACCGGGTGTTGCATCGTCGAGCGGGACATAGGAAATCCCATGTAAATTTTAATGGGGTCAATTATTGACTTCCCTAATTATTTTAGAGAATAATTCTATTTAGGTTTATTGAAGAGCACTAAAACCCACACTCAAAAGAGTAACTTTAGATATTTTTGATTAGCCCGTTTACGAGTTATCGCCGATTTCTTTTTAAATATTTCTCCTTTCTTATGGCCCTGTATTTACTTATGAGCACCAGTCAAGGTAAAAGATAACTGTCAAATGAAGTTGTCATTTAATAGTACCTAAATTTATAGCTTTTTTCGTTTTCCTGTTATTACTAGAGATGGGCAAAAGTAACCGGTTTTTTGAATAACCGGTATTTTCCTCTAAAATAACCGGTTATTTAAAGGTAGTTTTTTTTTCACCAGTTAACCTAATAACCTTGCATTACGTTCAATAACCTATAGCCGGTTATTTTTTTAAAAATCGTACTTATTTAAAACAAGTAACAATTAAATATTAGCTGTTTGAATCGTAAATTTCGAAGAAGCGAACGGCACGGATCTTCCAGATATTACGACGATAACGGGAGATCCCGCTCCCGCTCCCAAAACGAAAATATATGACATCAAACATCAAATGTCAAAATTAAATCAGGCATCAGGCGAACCCTGATGATAATAATCAAAACAACGGCCAAATGGCCCTGACAGGTCAGGCCGTAAAACAAAGTACTAATGGCATAGACTACTACTAGCCACCAGCTAGCCAAGTGATACGAACCTAACTTCAAATAGATTCTCTAAATTCTATATTTAAATTTTAACCGACTTTAACGGATTTTCAACGGTTCTTCAAAAGTCTTCCATGGTTTCGCCCAGTTTCACCCACGTTTCACCGTAAATATATTTTATTTGTAGTTTGAAGTCTCTCTTGAAGCTTAGACTAAAGAATACAAAATTAAAGTTCAAGTAATGAATGAAGATAATCTTTCATTATCTATTCATTCAGTCTCCTTATTTTTCTTTGGTATTTGATTAAAATAACTTGGTTGTAGATTGTAGAACTTGTGAGTTGTGTGGTTTTTTGAACGTTAAGTAATTACTAGTTTTAATATCATATCCATGTCTACTCAAAAAAGTGAGGTTAGCATTTTATTTAAATTCATTTTGTACATATACATACTTACATTGCTACAATCTCTATTTAATCATGCGATTTAACTAAGTTTATTATCTAAATTTGAAGTAGACCTATGGAGTGTAGAGGTAAGTAAACCTATAGGAAAACTAAATATTTAGTTTTGCTAGGTTAGGTTATTTGAATAACCGGTTAATTTGTGTCGGTTAATTTTGTCAAGTTATTATTTTTTAAAGATAATTCCGGTTAACCTATAACCGGTTTTTTACCAATAACCGCCCATCTCTAGTTATTACCGATTCTGAACCGTCCTAGAACTCTGCAGCGCATGCGCAAATGGAATAACGTCTTCATATTTCCTTCTGCGCATACGCATCACAGTTCTAGGACGGTTCAGAATCGGTAATAACAGGAAAACGAAAAAAGCTAATAAATTATTGAATATTGTAATAATATTATAATTAACCTTGTAATTGATTACTTTATTTTACTTTAATTCATATTAATTTGTATTTATAAATACATCTTTAAGATTTCCGATGTAGGAATGAGTTTTCAATAATAATAAAGCACTAAATAGGTAAATTTCTGAAATGGCAACTTCATTTGACAGTTATCTTTTACCTTGACTGGTGCTCATAAGTAAATACAGGGCCATAAGAAAGGAGAAATATTTAAAAAGAAATTGGCGATAACTCGTAAACGACCTAATCAAAAATATCTAAAGTTATTCTGTTGAATGTGGGTTTTAGTGCTCTTCAATAAACTTAAATAGAATTATTCTCTAAAATAATTAGGGAAGCCAATAATTGACCCCATTAAAATTTACATGGGATTTCCTATGTCCCGTCCGACGATGCAACACCCGGTATACTGTTTGCGTGTCCGCACTATTAAAATAGTCAATTATCTAGCATATTTAGAAATTTTGAAAAAATACGTTTGCTGATGACTTTAAAATATTAGTTAGAAATACGTACAGTGCGTCTGTCCGTTCTGTAGCTACGGGGTATCCGTGAGAGGGGAAACGATATTCTCTCGATGTCTTTCGTAAAAAATTAGATGACGCGTCCCATTAATAAAAATTCGACAAATTTGCAAGTAGCCAATAAAATGAGTGGGCGGAGCGATTTGCGGTGACGTACTCGTCAAGTCGACGTATAAAATATATTGCTGTTTATTTAAATGTTTTTTGTCCGCATTCCTTTCATAGTCACAGATCTTGAAATCAGAAAAAGAGGAGATCTTGGAGATCTTGAAAAAATCACTTTAGATGATGTTTCAAATAATTTAAAAATTCACGCAAATGGTCCATTAAGATATTTTTTTAGGATTTGGAGTACAAGGAAGGGAACCTACACAATCTACTGTAACAGAAGTTACCAGTGACATTGCGGGATTCAGAACAAGAAGTAAACCTGACCAGTCTTTAATAAATAGAGGAATGGGTAATTGGGAAAAGCATACCAAGGGAATTGGTGCCAAACTGTTGCTTCAGATGGGTTACGAACCTGGTAAAGGTTTGGGAAAAGAATTGCAAGGTATTGCAGCACCTGTAGAAGCCTATCTTCGAAAGGGAAGAGGAGCAATTGGAGCATATGGCCCTGAAAAACTTACTACCGTTCCAAAAGTTTCAGTAAGTCATTCCTTTTCATTTAGACATAGCTGGTCAATAGTGATGGGTTGTTATTTAACTATCTGTTATTTTATAACAATTATTTAGAAATAACATAACGCAACCGTTACTACTTTTAAAAAATAACAGATATAAAATAACGACACGCAGAGATTCGTGTGAAACGTGATCGTGAAACGAAGTCGGCGCTCTGCAGCGCCACGAAATTCGATGCTACTCGAAGCAATTCCAAAAAACAACTAGTATGGATGGAAAATATGTTATTTCGACTACTATCGATACAGGCGGCGAGACAACGGACAACGGAGTGGGGAATGCGCTACGGCGCGGCGCGGCGTGTTGGGCTTACAACAGCTTAAAAATAATAGGGTATAAAAGAAGAAGCTTTTTTGAAACAGTTGCGGCCATAACGCCTGGCGGTCGAGATAACAAGAGTGGCAAGGAACGCTGCTGCATCGGTCGATTGTCGATGGAGGCTCACAACGGGTTGGAGAATAACGCATCAGTTGTTTTAGCTACATTGTTTTTTAACCTGTTACGATCATAACAGAGCGGCGGTCGAGATAATCGGAGTGGGAAAGGAACGCTGCTGCATCGGTCGATTGTCGATGGAGGCTCGCAACGGGTTGGAGAATAACGCATCAGTTGTTTTAGCTACGTTGTTTTTTAACCTGTTACGAGCATAACAGAGCGGCGGTCGAGATAATCGGAGTGGGAAAGTAACGCTGCTGCATCGGTCGATTGTCGATGGAGGCTCGCAACAGGTTGGAGAATAACGCATCAGTTGTTTTAGATACATTGTTTTTCAACCTGTTACGAGCATAACGGGCGGAGGTCGAGATATTATAGCGCTGTATGTTTCAGTACTTGGTTATTAAGTTTCAATATTTAGGTATTTATTTATTCTGAAAAATTTTCAGAATAATATTTTAAGATTTTTTAAAATGTATACAGGGTGTTTTGAAAAATCTGGTCATTGATTAATCACGATCCTGTTTAAAGCCCTTGACGTAAAAAGCTGATTTTTGGAAAACGAATTGACTTTAGGGTGTAGAGGTTCGATAAGAGGGATTTTTCGAAACTCAAATTCTAAGGGGGTGAAACCACCCTCAAATATTAGAATATTCTTAAACACGTATATTTTATTTTGTTGTTTTACATATTTTAAGATTTTTAAAAAATATATACAGGGTGTTTCATAAAATGACTATTGAGTAATCATGATTCTGGTTAAACTGCTTGACGTTTAAAGCTGATCTTTGGCAAACGGATTGACTTCTCGAATCTCAAATTCCAAGAGGGTGAAAACGCCCCTCAAATATTACAATATTTGTTATTTAAGAAAACGGTTGGTCTTTCGGGAAAACGCTTGGACCCGCATAATTTATTTTGTTTTTTTACATATTTTGAAATTTTTGAAAACGAATTGACTTTAGGGTGTAGAGGTTCGATAAGAGGGATTTTTCGAAACTCAAATTCTAAGGGGGTGAAACCACCCTCAAATATTAGAATATTCTTAAACACGTATATTTTATTTTGTTGTTTTACATATTTTGAGATTTTTAAAAAATATATACAGGGTGTTTCATAAAATGACTATTGAGTAATCATGATTCTGCTTAAACTGCTTGACGTTTAAAGCTGATCTTTGGCAAACGGATTGACTTCTCGAATCTCAAATTCCAAGAGGGTGAAAACGCCCCTCAAATATTACAATATTTGTTATTTAAGAAAACGGTTGGTCTTTCGGGAAAACGCTTGGACCCGCATAATTTATTTTGTTTTTTTACATATTTTGAAATTTTTTAAAAAATCATACAGGGTGTTCCAAAAAGTTGAGTAATTGATTAACCACGATTTTACTTAAACTGCTCGACGTTTAAAGCATATTTTTGGCAAATGTGAGAAAATTTTATCCAGTTTGTATGTTAATGAAAATTCTTGCTTTGCTTTATCATCACCATTACAAATTAATAATTCGACGCGAACGAAGTCGCGGGTACACGCTAGTTTAAGTGTAAAATTAATTCGAACTCTAGTGTGTAGTTGGTTTACTTATGAAGAATATACTACTCATTTTCTTATGTTTCTATTTTTTGACCGCAAATGGTAAAATCATAACTAAGAGCTTCTCGCCCGTCGAGTGAGATGCACCCTGTACACTGCTACGCAATTCAGGATCTACGCGGATCGTAGGTAGATCGGAATGTATAGGTATAGACGAGTAGCGTCATTTTGGCTTTTTTATATCGCAATTTGTAAACAGCGCTTATTTGTAAACAACCACCGTTTTTAGAGAGGTATTTTAGATACCAATCGATATTTAGAAATGTTATGACACCCTGGAAATACTACCACCGAGCACGTCATTGTTGCAACTTGCAACTGCGTCAATACGCCTGGCGGTGACCGCCTCATACTCTTTCAGATTTTTTAGCAATAAAATAAAGAAACCTGTTATTTTCAAGCTGTTATTTTAAGCTGTTTTTTATAAATAACTATAACAGTTTCAACTGTTATCTAAAAATAACAGTTTTGCCCATCACTACTGGTCAACCATAAACATTAATTCTAGGAAAAGGATATGAAAATAAAACAAGATGACGAACCAGAGAACAAAGGACCCTCTAAGTGGAAAAGGAGTGACATAGCAGCTAAAAAGTCCCGCTATTATTACAGAAGCGTCGATGATGTAATTGAGAAAGGTAAAAAACCAGGAGGTTATAGAAATTCGGGAATTTCCAGGTAGAGTTACTTTTTCCAAATATCCAGGACATTTCATGCAATAAACAGAATTTTAGAAAATTGAATTTTCTACTTTAATCAATGCAGTGTAGACTCGCTCTTAACTGGTTGCTCTTACGGCTGAAGATTTAAGAAAAAAAAATATTGTGTGTGCGCGTAGCAATAAATACTTTTTACAAATTATAACAAAAATTTTTTTTTGGTTTAAAAGTTTCAAAAAAGGATTATAATAAATTTAAGTTAATTAAAGATTTATACGAATAAATTATAATGAAAAATACCACTGAGAACTTGTGAAAATGCCAGTTAAAAGTTCTGTCTACTGTATCAAAAACTAAGATACTACTTTCTTGATTTTTAGTGAGCTGACAAAAGTGAAAGTTATTGATATGACTGGCCCACAACAAAGAGTTTTAAGCGGATATCACGCGCTAAGTGGACTAAAGGCTCCTCCAGGTGTAGAACATTATGAAGATGTTGTTCATAAAAAATGTCAGAACTTTGCTCTACCCGAAATACAGCACAATTTGGATCTGTTAGTAGATATGTGTGAACAGGTTCAAAGATCGTATTTCCTAATTTTACATAATACTTTATTGTCATAATATGTTTTAGGATATTATTAGGATCGATAGGACGAGTCGCCATAACGAGGATCGAGTAACAGCTTTGAAGCAAGAAGAAATTATGATCAAAAATCAAATTTTAAAAGAAGACAAACTAGTTGATGTATTGAAAAATGTGCTTACAGTTGTGGATAAACTTATGGATCCTTCACAAGATTACTCTTTGGGACAAATTATGAATATATTTAAAGGACTATTGGTAATTATTTACTAACCTTTTTCATAACTTCTATTAGACCAAAATATAACACTAAACCACCACAATACACCAAAACACTTTTACTTTTACACTGGACGCGCGTTTCGCTAACCATGTTAGCATCATCAGCAGATGATTATAAACTAAAGTACAATCTACAAGTTGAGCGTTTATATACTCGCTCAGTGGGCACCGAGTGGGCGTGGCAAAATCTAGCCAACCGAGTCAGAGCCCACTGAGCATAAGAGTTAGATTTCCGCCACTAGAGTAGTAGGAACAAAGAACTTGAAGGAATTGGACCGTTGTTTTTGTTTATACTATCTTTACAATTATTAATTCTGATGCTTTCATATGCATCTAAATGCCTGAAATTTGAGACTTGTTTAATTAATTTTAAATTATTAAGATCTATACAATGTTCTTTATCAACAATATGTTCGGCAACGCAAGATTTATCCGGTCTACCATATCTTATCTGAGCTAAATGTTCTTTAAATCTAGTTAATATTGATGTTCTAGTTTGCCCAACATATTTCTGATTACAATCTTTACAAGAAATTTCATAAATGCCCGACTTTTCCAGTGGAAGTGTTTTATCCTTTGGATTACCTAATAATTGTTGTAATTTATTATTAGCACTATACACACGTTTATAATTGATATTCTTAAAAATTCCTTTTAGACCATGGGATAATTCTCTATCAAACGGTATTGAAAAAAATTTAGACATATCTTTCTCCACTTGAAATGTCGAATTTTCAGAAATCATTAACCTATACCTACGTTTTCTAATTAATTTATCAACTAGTGAAGGAGAATATCCATTACACTCAGCTACATTCCTAATGTAATCTCTTTCTATTTCTTATCTTTTGTTGGAAAGTGGTAAACTAAGTAATCTATGAACTAAGAAATTTAAACTAGCCATTTTATGTTCAACACTATGATGTGATTCATTAGGAATATATCTGCGTGTGGTGGTATTTTTCCTATAGATATCAAATTCCAGGCAATTATTAGTATTTCTAATAACTAATACATCCAGAAATGGTAATCTGTCGTTGTTCTCAATTTCATGCGTAAATTTAATGAAAGGAAAACGATTATTTAACTTAGAAATAAAACTATCTATGGTGTCTGAATGTGTGTCAAAAACAGCAAAAATATCATCCATTTACCTAAACCATACTCTTGGAAAATACTCAAACTGATTCTTAGCCTCCACTTCTAACCTGCTCATGAATAAATTAGCCAAAAATGGAGACAATGGATTACCCATTGCTGTACCTTCCCGCTGTTCAAAAAAGTTGTTATTAAATTGAAAACAATTTTGTTTCATACATAACGATATAAGCTTAATATATTCAATCACAGTTTTGTTGTCGAGACCATTTGCGTTCAGTAATTCCTTCAAGTAGCCTAAAGTATGTGGAATTGGAACACTTGGGAACAACGAAGATACATCAAAGGAGACCAAAATTTCACCTTCATGCAATGTTATATCTTTAATTTTGTTAATGAATTCAATATATTATTTTTCATGTTCAGGTAAATTTTCGAACTCCCTTGATAACCATTTTGCCAAATTATAAGTCGGAGAACCTACAGCCGAAACAATTGGGCGCATAGACTTGTCTGGTTTATGAATTTTTGGCAAAGCATACAATTTTGGTAATGAGGTTCTATGATGAGTTCTATTAGATATATTTATTTTAGAATAATCATTATGAAGAGTATTGTCAATACGAATTATCTGAATTAGCTCCTGGTTTAGTTGGACCTTTACTAACGTCAGCCTTAGCTAATTGGAATCCCCTGCAACAACCAACTCAGTGTATAGAGTTTTTCGAAGAATGGAAGGATATTCTGGAGGAACCCAGACATCGTGGGACACTAGAAGGTAATAAAGTTGGAATACAGCCATACGATAGTCTCATATGGCATACTTGGGTGCCTGTTATAAGAACTTGTATTAGGTAAGTCAGTTTAATGCATTTAGCTTGAAGCAGTTTTTGGAGATTTCATTAATTTTTCTTCTTATTCAATTTGAAGATATGCGAAAGCATTATCTTTCTCTTATGTATATTTTATGATTTTCTGATTCATGGTTTTACAGATTTAGTTATCTTTTGACTCTGTGTAACATAACCTAGAAATTTGTCAAAATGCTCAAAATCGGTAGTTCTTAGGGCTCGAACACACTGACGACCAGAAAACCATTAAATCAAATGATACCGTACACACTAAACGTCGTGGCCGTCCGTTGGTCGTTGCGACCAGTAGACTGCACTAAAATATTATAATTTTCTGCCGCTTGTTGCCGGTTTTCTTCGAAATTAATAAATTTTCAGATGAAATCCCTCAAATTCAACGCACAATATTTTATTTTCTATAAAATATAGTGTTTTAGTGTAATTTTTGCACACGTGCAGAAAATCCAAAGAAATAGTATACAGACTGGATCAAAGGGAAACTTAAATCTAGTCCCTTTTTTTATCCAGGGTCGATTCTAGTAAAAATTCAAAACATTTTTATATGACATTCTCTATTTATGGTTGTTATGATACCTGTTATTATACCTTCAAGTTTCGATGTTAAAAAATAAAAAAAATCATATTTAAAGTTTTTCTACAACCACTTGTTTTTTTTATTAAATTATTTTTTTTAGTTGTATTGTAGTCATGTACAAGGAGGACAACTGTATTTTAAATATTATATTTAATTTAACGTTTTTCAAACAGGGTCCATTAGACTATATTTCTACTAGGTACATTATTTAAAAAAAAATTAAGAGTAAAAGTAACTTAAACATTCATAAAAATAGAAGTATTTACTGTTGTAGATTCTCAGTAACAATAAAAAAGAGGAATTTATATTGAAAACATTGAAATAACTGGAAGCTTAACTTTCTACCTGCTTATATTTAGAGCCAGTGTCTGACGACCTTTTTTTACGATGGCCCTAATATGTTTACTTCTAAAGTCGATAAGAGCCATCAGTAGAAGCCCATATCAGTAGAAAAAAGAAACAGAATATCTCCCTTTTTGTCGGTCGCGCGTACACAATACTTTTTGTTCGGCCTATTTGTTCTGCTTGTTCGTGCGCGCTCGGTTCGTTCGGGCTAAAATGCTCTAGTCTGGACGCACCTTTAGGAACAATACTGTTTTTAAACGGTTTTATTTAGCTCGACCCGTACGGTATTTATTTGTTTGTTTGTTTATTTGGGTCAAAATTAGAAATTGAAATTTAAGTACCTTCCTGTTGTCAGATTGATCTGAAATTTGGTACACACCTTTAGTTCCGATGACAATACAATATAGTAATATCAATAACATTGTAAATCTAAGATGGCCGCCGATACAAAATGGCGGATTTAATATTTTTCCACAACCCCCTCAATATGGGTATCAAATGAAAGGGCTACACTAGTAGAATACTGTGATTATGACAAAATTTAAAATCCAAGATGGACGTCGTTACAAAATGGCGTATTAGGTGAGGGCATGAGTAGTCGTGTCCAGAACAGTTGTGTCCAAGATTGTGTGACGTTAGAAGGACAGATAAAAAAAATAGGTGATTAGATGTATCTACGTAGTTAGCGGTAGCTTTACCACCCAAGTTAAGGTAATAGGTTAAAATGTGCTGAGGACTGTATGGCATTAGGGTGGCTAAAAATGTAATGTCGCAAGCGTTTCCCCTCAAGATTGGGCGCCTCTTGTTGTATATTATAGCTTTGCCCCTCTACTGGACCTCTGGGGGGGTCGACCGTTAAAATGTCCATTACTCGTGGGAACAACATGGAAACAATAAATAAAAAAACAAACAAAAATAAAAACGAAACTGCTACACAACGAAAAAGAAGGCTCGAAAAGGCGAAAGAAAAGTATAGAACGAAACGTGCAAAAGAAAGTGAAAATGAAATCTATAGTCGACTACAGAAACGAAGAGAACGGTTAGCAACAGAAACACCTGAGCAACATGATGCCAGGTTAATAGCACAACGTGAGAGACAAAGGCAGCTGGTAGAGTCAGAAACACCTGAGCGTCATGAGTCCAGGCTAGCATCACAACGTGACAGACAGAGAGAGTTGTTAGCGGCAGAAACACCTGAGCGTCATGAGTCTAGGCTGGCATCATAACGAGAGAGACAAGGAGAGTTGTTAGCGCCAGAAACACCTGAGCGTCATGAGTCTAGGCTAGCATCAGAACGCGACAGACAGAGAGAGTTGTTAGCGTCAGAAACACCTGAGCGTCAGATTGTAATAAACTATCAGGTAAAAAACCATGTAATAATGATGCACTAAATTAATTAAATAGAATGAGGAATATTCGGTAGGCATTTCCGTTAAATACTAAAAACTAGAAAATAAAAAATCGGTAAAAAAACATTTAAGTTAAACGGTTTTATCTTATGTGCACTGAAAACTAGAAAATAATAATAACAATTAGGTATTTTAAACTTCTAGTTCAGAAATATTTTAGTACTAGGCAGAATAGCTTTTAGGCATATTAGACTAAATAAAAACGTGGGGCCCATTAACTATTGCTGTAATACTTTCTTCTATACTAAGTGTGGATTGCATCGACTTACTATAATCGTAACTGGAGATTTTGACAATCAATAACCAGCCGTGGCGGCTTCACCAGCGGACGCCGAGCTCATGATCTACCAAAGTATAAAGATATGCTTTGCCATAGGTAGGATTTCAGAGGGGCCCCACGTTTTTATTTTAGTCTAATATGCCTAAAAGCTATTCTGCCTAGTACTAAAATATTTCTGAACTAGAAGTTCAAAATACCTAATTGTTATTATTTTCTAGTTTTCAGTGCACATAAGATAAAACCGTTTAACTTAAAAGTTTTTTTACCGATTTTTTATTGTCGTTTATTGATATAATGCTGCAAATCTCACGAGTTACATGTCTCACTCTACACATATTAAATTACATAGACGTAGGATGTAGAATATTCTGTTGTGAAACGGAGTTGTGAAAAATATGGAAATAACGACGTTATCGTGTAGTCGGGGTTGGTGATTTTACTTACTCCATTTACCACACCAGTATTTATTAACGAAAAATCCAAGAATATTTTAAATGCATTATTTAATATTAGAACATTTAATAAGCTTATGAATAGCAACTTCGCTTTTTAGTTAAGTCGGATATTTTAACATTTCTGAAACACTATTTTCTAATTGGTAAAACGTAAAAAAACGTTAGATCTGACAACTGTGTTGAAACTGGTCGTTCATCTGGCCGCAGCTATAAACGCAATACATCCGGCCAGCTTACGGCCAGGTCGTTGCGACCTGGTCTTCAGTGAGTTAGAGCCCTTACTTGAAATATAAACTTTATATAAGCTCTGGGCTAACTACCACTTTAAAAAATTCGATATTTCAGAAAACCTGATATTTTTGTCTATGATTAATCCTTAGTATAAGAAAAGAGATAGGTACTCTTAATATTTTCTGCCAATAGTCAATACTCGGCAGATTGATGACAGCACGCAGAGCGCTTTTGTTCGGAGTCGAATTGACGAAAATGTGCGTTACTGTGTGCTGCTATATTGGGTTTCTATAGTCGGTCCAACGAGAAGATACATGACAATGACAGTTGTGTCTGTCAATTAAATGCATACGTAAATTGTATTTTCTGTCATTTTGCGTCGATCAAAATCTTCCCTGACTCGTTGGACAGACTTTAATATAGCTGTATTATATGATGTTTTGTTTTAACAGTAATACCCCTATTTATATAATTTAGATCTTTTAAACTGTATATTTCAAATAAAATACGCGTTTCTTTTTAGTAATTTAGTTTCATGTTACGTAAACGTTAACGTAAATGTAAAATAATGAAACTGGGTAATTTCGACCATATCTGTTATAATAATGAAATGAAAGTAGATATTATAGTATGTTAAAATTTGTATATACAAAAATAATAAGTAGTTATTGGACACCTTGAATTTTCTTATTATATTCAAACAAAAATGAAAATTAGGCAGTAATAGAATTTATCCATAAAGAAATCTTCCAACCGATATAGTTCAAAACATATGAAGGGTCCAGGGGAAAAACATGATAAGCGCCATTTAAAAAATAAGAAAGTAAGATCAAAAAGAGGACTGTTCTCTGAAATAGAGGACGGTTGGCAACCCTATGATAACCTTGGCGCTAATCATATTTTTTCCCTGTACTCCTCATATTAAATAGTTGTCAAAATTAATGTTATAGATATAGCTAATAGAAAATATCTGAATTAATAACTCATTGATTGCGTTGATTACTTGATTTTTTTTAATTACTTTTTTTATTATTTTTTTTTAATTAATTTGTCCAATTATACAACCTATTATTACATTTAAATGAAAAATTGTAAATCTTTTTCGAATATCCAAAATTAATTAGTAATTTAATTAATTTTATACTCTTATTCAAGTCAGAATTAACGAATTTGTATCTCTAAAATATCCTTTAAAAGAAGCGTTTCAAAACGGAACACAGCAATTTTTTTCAATCAACTTTAGTATAACCATTAATTACCTTTCTTTCTGTTTACAGTACGTGGAATCCTCGGGATTGTGAGCCACTGATTACCCTAATAGAAGCCTGGAAAAATGTGTTGCCTGTGTGGATTTTGAACAATATTACTGATCAGATGATTATGCCTCGAATTATAAAAGAAGTGAATAACTGGAATCCATTGACAGATACAATACCAATTCATTTATGGATTCATCCATGGATACCAATATTAGGTATTAATAATAATTATATTTTACCACTGCCTATTCAGGATCATGTTTTTGTCAATTTATTATTTATTTTTTGTTTTCATTTTTTCTCGAAAACTAAGTGGTCTTGTATAGACAAATTATGAAAAATAAAGAAGTTTTTGAAGAATGTATGCTAAAAATAATTTGGATTCATGAAGCAGGTCTTAAAATAAACCTTTTATAAGTTGTATCACAGATTGGGTATCCTATAAGTATACAGATAAAAATCTTGTCCCTAATACTTGGTACGAAAATTGTTTTTTATGACGATGTGCAAACGAGTAAAATTTCCTGTGCGCAAAAATAAACTCGCGTAAAATAACAATAAACAGCGTAATAGAGAGATATCGCTAAACCGAATAGCGTGCATGGACGATAATAAGGCCAGGTGTTATTTCCTTTACGTGTGGTGGTATTAACCAGGCGGATGAAACTGCCATTTGAATTTTGGAAACACGGCGGAGTTTCTGCCAGTAGAGGGATAGATGGCGCTGCGTAGAAATTTCATCTAAAGTCCCTAGATATTCATCTAGGGACTTTAATTTCATCATGATTTTATCAAGTCATCCACAGAGTATAGTTTAATTAACAATTCGTTTGATTCTCTGTGGAGTAATTGGAGTAGTTGGAGTAGTTGAAAAATATAAATATTTATATAAAATGTTGATAATTTAACAGCGATGTGCTTTGTTACCCTATGAATAAACATTGATATGAAGTTGCTTTCGCCAGAAACAATTATAATTAAATAATTTAATAAAAATTTAATTTCTAAGTGACCCGGATCAGTTAGATCAGTAAAATAAATTGAAAAATAAACGTCATTCCATATCTGGCAATGTCTGTCAGTTTCTGTGAAGTGGAAGTGAATTGTGATTTGTTTTTATGGGAATATTTACGGATTTTTGCGAATTTAGAGTATTTTGGACGATAGGATTGTGAAATTTAAAAGCCAAGTAGTTTCATATATAAGATTAATTAATCCCTGTGATAATTTTTATGAAATTTCTCATAATCAAAACAAATTCTTTCAACAAAATGGCTGTCTCAGAAATTTGGAAGATCATTAATTTTAAAGTTTTATTTAAGTGTATTTATATCGAATCAAGAATTTGTATAACATATTAAAAGCTTAATTTTAAAGGTTGTGCAGTAATTTATGTAAGTGTACGCTTTTAGATAAATATTAAATATACAAATTTGCAAAGACAAACAAGTAATTTTAAAAAGATCATTTATTTATTTAAACGAGTATAATCATTAATCATTAGGTTGAAAATATATTTGTATTTACTTATTTATATATTTTCTATACCCTTGTATTATTTATAAGCCCTATATGTCCTGTTTTATTTGAAAAAAAAATGCTTCGAGTCATCGAGAATAGATTTAATAACAATTTTGTCCCTTGGCTTTGTGTATTATATAATGTGAATTGTAAGATGTTTCTATTTGAATAGGTCATTAAAGTTGAGATTAAAGTTATACCAAATTATATTCACGGTAACTATATGTCTTTTATATAATGAATTATTTATTTATAATTTATAACCTTTTTTATAATTACTTATAACTGATTGTATAAATTCTGATAACTTTTATATATACTTGTATAGTGTTGAATGTGTTATATGTAATTTTATTAACAATGTTATAATAAAATAATCAAGTTACAAATTTTTCGTGTTTTATTCTAATTTCAGGGATAATTTCAACCTAGATTATTAATTTATTTGTATCAAAATACATTTTTTTATTTTGTAAAATGTTTTGTTACAAATAAGTTCATAATCTAGATTGAAATTACCAAATATAAGTAAAAACCTTATGAACTGGCAGTAAAGGTCCATTTAAAAATATGGCGCGAATTTTTAGTTCTGCCAGTAGCCCGCTTGGATCGCGTCGAGCGCGTGTTTCCAGGCTTTAACATAGGAGTTTTCATTTCTTTCAGTTAGTTATTCTATGGTATTAACTCTCCTCATTTATTGTTATCGGATCGGAAAGGATTCTGTTCGCGTCGCGTCCGCTATTTAAACTTAACCTAACTTTGAATTTAAAACTTTGAAAGTGTTTTGTTTACTAGGTATTTTAAAACTGAAGGGCTAAAGTGCTTATTTCCAGTGCTTTATCGTTCAACGTCTGCCAGTGATTTTAGGGTAACAAGCAACAAATTCTCTTAGAAGGGATAAGTCGTCATCTGCTGTAAACCTAAGCCTCTTTATAGGTCTTTAATATTGGAAGAGGTGGAATCCATATTTTGAGCCATATTTATTTAATTAAAACTAGTCCCAGCTACTTAAATATCAAATTACCTAATAAAACTAAAGTAATAATTCAAAACAATTCAAACATAACCTAAAATAAAAGATCTCGCCGCTCGCCGGCCGGCCCCGGTTGTCAAATACCCGCAGATGCCCATTTAAGCAATTTTTAAACGTTATTTAGAAATAGCGCTTGGTGTAATTGATCCGCAAATTACGTCAGGCGGTAACGTTATTAGCGGGTGTTGCGTTAAAAATTGACTCGCGCATATCGTAACCATGATAAGGTACGCGTAAATACTGCATGACGCTATTCGGTTTTCCGATCTCTCTAAAGGAGGGCGCGCACTGCATCGGATCGGACCGACCAGCAAAAGCGACCGCGACCATCGTACATATAGTCGGCGCCGGCGTCCACTAAAACATTTCGGCCTGTAGAGGCCAGATTCCTACCTCTACCTATCTACGATAGTCGAGTCACCGCCTTCGCCGTTTCTCGCCGGACTGGTACCGATTCAGTGCGCGCGGACCTTAATAACTGTGTCGGTCAGGCGCTATGCACAATTTTAGAGGCCATAAGTGGGCGTGCTATGTGCGCAAACTAGTTACCTAACTAGTGCCCGATTCCGAAAATTGAAACCACGAAAAACAATAAAGAAAAAACAAAGATTATTATCTGTGGTTGTATCAACCTATCATCGAAATTGTGACTGACCCTGTATATTTTTTTATTCTTCTTAAAAATTGTAGATGAAAGGCTTCACGAAAAGGTTTATCCAGTTATTCAGGAAAAACTAGGAACTGCTCTTAACGGATGGCATCCTTCTGATAAATCAGTTAAGCTCATGCTACAACCCTGGCAGAGGGCTTTGTCAAAGGGTACCTTCTTAGCATTTCTACTTAAACATATAGTACCTAAGCTTCAACTTTGTATACAAAGTATGGTCATTAATCCCCATCAACAACTCCTAGGTACTGTAAAAACATATTTCTTTAATTTTAAGTGAACATTAATTGATTTACTTTTAGATCCCTGGTACTGGGTTATGGACTGGAGTGATATGATATCAGTACCGAATATGACCTTGATTTTAGATAAATTTTTCTTTCCAAGGTGGTTGCAAACCTTGGCAATGTGGCTTAACCATAATCCAAATTATAACCAAGTTACTGAATGGTACTCTGGATGGAAAGGAATGGTTTCCGATGAATTATTTGCCCAACCGACTATTAAAGGTACTTACAAATAAGCTAGATATTAAAAAAAAAAGTTTTGACTTTTTTTAAATAATTAATGAAGATTTTACACCGAATAATGCTTGCCAAAAATCTTTAATAATTTAATAACTTTAAAATCAATGTAACTATATAAAATATTTTAAATCAAGAAATTGATTTCCTCTAATCAGCTAGGTATGTGGGAAGAACGGTAAACTAATAGGATTGCTCATCCTCATAAGACGTACGTTCGCCTCTTCCCGCGCTTCAGCTGACAGTTGTGACGTCATTGTAGTCCTTGTCATGATAGTGTGTATTATTAGTTGCATAAGGTTAACTTATAAAAATAACAGCTGAGAAATTTTGAGTTAATTATTAAAAGTGAAAAAGGTGTCTTTAATGTTTTTAGAGCTATAGAGTGTATAAATACGTTCATTTTGTGTTGTGGATTGTGACAAAGTGCTTACTAAGTGCCTACGATATTGTTTATTAATTATTTTAAAGCAAAATATTGAAGTACTCTAAAAAGAATGCTTGGAAAAGGTGATGCTGGGAACTGCTGTTCTTAAAAAAGTATTTAATACGATTTATACAGTTAATTTTCTATACTGCATACATATAAGGTATTTAAATAAATAAACTAAATATTCAAAGCCCATCCGGCAACCAATAATGCACGTGTGTGTATTATTGGTTGCCGTATAAGGACTAATAACCATGACAATGACAACAATGCCGTCACAAAGCGAGCGGTTTTCGCATGCACCTGGCGGACACTTTTGGCTGAATGAGCAGTGCTATTAGGTTAACTGTTCTTGGGTATATGGTATAAAACTCTTCAAAATTGTTTAACAATATACAGGGAGTCTCTTATGTAAGTAACGCTCAGAGGTCGCTTTGAAATGCAGTTTGCTGTCATTTTATATCTAAAATTATATGGTTATATTTCCAAGCCAACTTAATGTCTTTTTTCTGTTGGATTGTACAGTACCTCGACTGTATGTCGTAGTCAAACGTACCGCCACAAAAGTGTCATTTTTACTCTTGATAATGGCTTTTTGTGTCTCGCCTATCATAAAATAGCATTTGACTAAATAGAAAACATTAATTTGCTCATATTTTGAATACTAATATGTAAGGAGACGAAAATCTCCTGGATTCGCAGCAGAATCAACTATAGTACAATTCTTTTAAAAGTTCCTCAATATGGCCGACCTAGTTACGAAAATTGGTATTTTTTTTAATGAAAAATAAGTGGGCGTTAGCGTATTCAGAATTTATTTACGCTTTGGTTAACAACAACATTTTTCAGGATTGTCAAGTTGACGTTAAAGTTAGGTTATTAGGTGGTTGTCTAAAATAAAAACATAGCTTATTGAAATTATTTAAATAAGAATAAAGATATTTCACCGCAGATCGGAAGAGATTTTACTTAAAGGTATTTTATAAACTTTCTCAGTGAGAATATTAACTCCCCTGTTTCTTATATCTCAGTTAAACGGACGCTACGTAAGAACTATAGGAAGAGAATTTTTGTTTTCATGTTTTGACGATATTCGAGAGTTCCTAGAATTATCAAGATTATTGAATAATTATAGTTGTTTAATAAGTGAAATTAATAGAAGACTTGGAGATAGGATGATGGGTTTCATGTTATAGTTGATAGATCATCCCATTTCTCTTAATTTATGTTTTTATTTCAGTACTGAGAATTGATTTGGTTGCGAAACAGCTATATATTTTTAAAATCTTATTTAGATAGTTCTTTTATATACTGTTAAACTGTATCATCTAAAAAGTCTTTAGCAAAAAGTTATAAGGTAATAAATTTTGTAGATATAATTTTTGAAAATTTATATATAAAGATTAGAACACAATCCTCTGAGGAAAAAATGAAATATTCAAAAACTCATTAAATACACTTTATTAAATAACAACATACAAAAATAGTCATCCATCCAAACTGTAATAATCAGAACATTATCCACATTATACCTTTATTAAATTTGTGTTCACACTTCTGTCAGGAAAGTCAGAAATGTTTGTTTAAATATTAACTTGTTTTAAATTGCCAGAAACACATCAGAATATGTGACAACCACAACTATAGGTTTGGAATCAGTACTAAATTTTATACCTAGTAAGTGATGCGTAACTAACAAGTATAGGATAAAAAAGAATTATTAATATAGAGTGTACTATACGATCTCTTTCTGCTTATTTATAAAGCGACTTTCCTTTCAATTGTGAGGAATATCGGTAAAATAAAACATGTTTGGTTTGGTTTGGTGTTTGATATTCTTACTACATCTATTACAAACCTTAAGTGCTTTTAGTGAGTGTAACTGTATTTCCTATTATTCTTTGTGTATCCTGTAAAGTAAAAAAATATATGTTTCAAAAAATACAAAAACAATGCAATAGATATCAAACAGATTCATAAAAACTACTTACACTTATTGTACATATATATTTCAAGTGTTATTTGATCTTTGATCCTATACCAACATTACCTTCTTGAGGTCTCCTCTACTAACTCAACTTTTAAACCTTCTTTATATTTTAAAACTGATTTACATGAAATATAAGTTTTAATCTATTTATTATCATATTATACATATGAGGTACAAACCTGAAAATTACTGATTCGAAGAAACTTCTCAAAATAATTAGAGACCTTTTTACAAACATCTGGACTAATTTATTTTCACGAATTTGTGGACGAGTCAATGTTTTCTAATACATTTTTAAGCGTTTTACACATTTTGAATATCTTCCAGGCTATTCCTCAGTTCTTGATCAGTAAAATGATTATTGATAACTATATAATTAGTACTGCAGGTTAAATAAAAGAACAAAATCAAGTAGAATCTGTGAATAGAAACTCAAAAAATAATGAAAATATTTGTTTAGAAAAAGGGGCCGTAAACGTCACTGTCAGCCAAGTGTCAGAGTTCAGTTAGATTTACCACAGATTATCAATTTGAACGATTTGAACTACAGTCGATTCCAGTCTAGATATTTTCGTTTTTTAAGCCTCCCACACTGAAGTCCGCCATATTGGGAAGTTTTAAATGAATACAAGTATAGCAGCACTAAAAATTTTCTTTTTATATTTCCCTGAAAATGTAAAATTTTCAACAATTTTTCTTGCAAAAAAATAATGGGCTTGTTTCTGGTGTTGAAAAACAGGGCGTTTCAAAAAACTTGTGCCATCTCTCGTGGGGAGATTCCTCACGTAAAAATAAGATGTATTTTTTGTATCAACATAGGTCCGGTCCAAAATGGAAATGGAAATATTGGAAATTTCCAAACGTGTCTCGGAAATATTGGGAATATTGGAAATATTTTTAAAAATACTTAAATCTTGTCATTAACGATTCAAACCCGATGTTTATTGATATATCTTTCATATTTTGTAACCCTATAAACATTAAATTTAGTATAGAACAGTTTTATAAACATATAATATGGTGAATATATCGAGTTTGAGGATTCGCCATTCATTATGCTGCAGAATTACTAAATCCAAAATCACAAGGTTCTGAACTTGATGAAACCCAAATTCTTTCTGTCATAGAATGCATACTTAATATATCAAAAAATAAACTCAATATAAAGGAGCAAGAAATAATAGATGAAATAACAGATTACCGTTGTAGAAGTGGCAAGTTATTTGGAAATAACTTCATATGGAAAAGTAGTTTTAAATAACCCAGTCTCCTGGTGGAAAGGACTGTGTTCTTCATCTTCATTATCACAAGTATAGCTTCACGAATTTTGATGATGCCAGCATCTTCGGCTGCCACGGAACGCAGTTTTAGCGTTTATAGTCATATTCATTCAAAAAAGAGAAACAGGCTTACTAATGACAGAGCCGCCAAGCTACTCTATGTATCCCACAATGAAAACTTGCTGAAGAAAATAGGAAACGGCAATAGATCAATTTTTATTTCCGATACTATTGAAGATTTTGAGGAAGTAGACTGGCAAGAAGATGCTATTGAGTGTGATGCTGATGACAGCGATGAAGATATGCCTCTTGCTCGACTAGTGTGTCAAAAATATTTTTTTTTGTACCAATTTAACCTTAATTTATTTTTAAATTTGAAGAATAACTCATTTTGTGTTTTGCGATGTTTTTTTATGATTTTTATAAATAAATATTTCGGTTTTTCTTATTTTTTAAAATATTTCATATATTTCCAATGTTTCAGGAAATATTTCCGGAAATATATTTCTGGAAATTTTACATCACTAATACTACTATTTAAAGATAAGCGCTGTAAATTATCTGTTAATAGAAACATTTCAAAATTTTATTTTTTTTTATGAAGAAAGTTTCCATAAAGCTTTGGAAATGATGAGCAGAGCTGTAGGTATTATGCAACAACCTGGGGCTAAAGAGTCAATATCGTATTTATCAACCAACGAAACGAATACACCGCTTCTGCCACCTCCGCCAAAGATTGAGGTAAAAACATTATTATCCTATATTAAGTCAAGGACTGTATATATTCTAAAGGACTGTTCGATCGCGTTAAATCGCCGCTGTCGTAGTCGCCGTGGAATGCTACGTCACGCGCTGACCAGCGCTCCACAGTGCGGCGGATGGTTATTCTATCGGGACAAAATCTCAAGAGTAATGTTTGGGACTTAAAATCTAAGAACGTAGCAAATGGTCTAATATATAGCAACTATATGGTTAAATTTATTTATTTATTAACTTAATAAATAAATAAAAGATAATAAAACTATGATATTATTCGTACATGACTATTGCCAAATACATAAAATTATGATATCTAAAAACTGTTTAGCAGTTTTTTTTTAATTAATTTGTAATCTTGTGACACGTTCTATAATTTATTTTAAAAAAATATATTTTATTTTGAAAATAATAAATAAGATAGATATTTTAATTTTAATTTTAACACTCGGTAATTGTAAATTCATATATATAGTCTATAAAATGAATAACTTTGAATTTTGACCGTTATTTTTTACCAATATGGCAAATATAAAAGCCCTCTATCCAAAAAGTTACTGATATTCTTTAAAATGAGTGCCTGAACGAATCAGATAGGTAACTCTTTTTACTTTCGTGAAATAGAAAAGGAAAATAATAAAACAAGTGACAGTTCTTCCTCTTCTTGTAAAAATAAACACGAAATGTCATAATTGACAAAAGTAAAATGTCATCAGCTTTTGACATTTCTAAATATCAGACAAATGCCCTCTCTAATAGAACAGCCACGGAGCGAGATTTATGACATCACGCTAGTTAGATACTACGGATTAATAAATATGTTGTAGAATACATGGAAAACATAATTATTCCTCGTATTTTTGGTTTGTATTTTAAAATGATATAGTTTACATGAAATATACATAATATACAGTTAATAAATACAATATAATATATACTTATTTATAGTAATAAATACTTTGGCAAATAAACTATGAACTATACAAATGCAGCAAATGTTTTACAATATACAAATAATGAATGGGTGGTACATAAGATAATGGGTAAAATGTAAAATATATTTTAAATTTTGGGGTTTGAAAATCGATCTAATTTAACAAAAAACATTTGATATCTACTAATGTATTATTATTTGCATTCGCAAAATTTATATGTATATTCTGCAAGTATCAATGTTCGAAAAATTATATTTGCAAATAATACAATATCATAGAAAAAAAGGCGTTAGCGATGGCTATGAAATAAAGATCGCTATCATTTTATATGTAAAATTATTCTAAAATTTTTGATTTTCTTGGGATTTAGGTTCGGGAGAAACGCTGATTAAGTTTTCATTTGGTTTTTTATTATTCACACCACACACCACATAATGTTTACTGCAATTAATAAACTAATATAAACTTGTCAAAAGATGACCACATATTTTTTTAAATTATTATTTTTTAGTTTTTTTCAGCCATATTGTAAAACATTTTCTGCATTTGTATGGTTCATAGTTTATTTGCCAAATAATTTATTACTATAAATAGGTATATATATTGTATTTATTTACTGTATATTATGTATATTTTATGTAAACTATATCATTTTTAAAATACAAACTAAAAATACGAGGAATAATTATGTTTTCCATGTATTTTACAACATATTTATTAATTCGTAGTATCTAACCAGCGTGACTAAATCTCGCTCCGTGGCTGATCTATTAGAGACGGCATTGCGTCAGCATGGACGCAAGTTGCTAACCTAATAAAATTAACACTAGAAAAGCCCACGGGAAGTGTCAAATTCAAAGTTATTCGTTTTACAGACTATATTTATTTATTTATATATAAATGGTCTAATATATAGCAACTATATGGTTAAATTTATTTATTTATTAACAACTTAATTTATTAATAAATAAATAAAAGATAATAAAACTATGATATTATTCGTAAATGACTATTGCCAAATACATAAAATTATGATATCAAAAAACTCTTTAGCAGTTTTTTTTTAATTAATTTGTAATCTTGTGACACCTTCTATAATTTATTTAAAAAAAATATATTTTATTTTGAAAATAATAAATAAGATAGATATTTTAATTTTAACACTCGGTAATTGTAAATTCATATATAGTAAGTATCTAAGACAATTTTTTAAACTCAGTGCCTTTTGATGGAGTTGTTTTGTTTTTATACTATCCGATTGAAATGAATCTTTTTGGGCATTCACCTGTTAAGCTTGAACTCCCTGTGACTGTGACTACCTGTGTTGGTAACTATTGGTAACTCAAAAGATCTACATCATTCAATACATCGATATTTGAAAAAAAAATGAAAGTTTGATATCTGCAGAACAAAGGCACGAAGAATTTTAACAAATAATATACGTACAATAGAAAAGTACATACCTTTGGCAATCTTCAACATAATTTGGCTTTCTAATAAAATGTATAAGCACTTGTAAATATTTTGTTTTCGTATGACCTCTGCCTTGCTGAGCAGAAAACGACCAAATTTGGTTGATAAAAATGTATCGAAATACAAAGAATATTCATGCATTTTTGTGTCAATTGGAATGTCTACTATTTATTCTTATCAGTACACATTTTTTGGCTTATTTCTAACCAAACGCTTTTGTCCCGCTAAATTTATCTTCCAACGCACTGTGCGCTCGTCCGTCAAATGCAAAAATAACTGTCACTGTCTAAAATCTTTAGCGCCAACTTCAACTCGGTCAGTAGATGACGTAAAAAAACTGACAGTGCAGGAAGATAGGAATCGAACTATCCTTATCTCTATATAGTATCCTTGATATTAAGTTACTTTTTTTAACTTTATTTTATTTCACACAGAGTATAGCGGAAGCAGTCAAAGTGGCTTCAAAAATACCGCAGGGCTTCAAGGACTTGGTGACGAAACGTTGTGAAGAACGAGGCATCCTGTTTGTACCAATATCCAACAAATATCACGAGGCTAAACAAGTATATAGGATAGGCACAAACGGTGTTCAGTGTTACATAGACAGGAACGTTATATTTTACAGTCAGAATAATTCAACTTGGATTCCTACTTCATTAAATAGACTTTTAGATATGTCCTCTTAAAGATATATTTAGCATTAAGCCAAAATTCTTCTCTTATGATATAACATATTGTTATATTAATTCACATAAATATTGTTCACAATATTGTATATAAAAAGATGTTAAATTTGACGATTGTTGATATACCGTGTCACAGATAAAGTTGAATTGGGACCTTTGAATAAGAAGAGTAAGGAAGGAACGTAATGCTATCCATGTAATTATGCATGGTGGGCGGAAAAAGGACTCTAGGGTGGGGATCCTTGACAGTTCTGTTTGACGATTCATTTGACACATTTGAATTTGATTTGAAATTTTGTGGATTTGTCAATCTTTACGGAGCTTATTTTATGTTATTTATTATTTATTCTACTACTGATTGTTGTATAAAGGTAGCAAATCTACTTGGAAATTGTGGCAGAACTTAAATTAACAGTGACACTATCGTGATTTATCGAAAAAGACTCTAAAATGGTTGTGTAGCGTGCGGTAGATCTCGGCAAAAATCGAGTGAAATAATGTAACAACTTTTCGCTAGTAAGTGACTATATAATATACATACGTGTAGTAAACAGATGATTTATGAAATTCACTTAAATTAACTAATTATATATTTTTTCTTGCATTTTTGCTTTTATTTACAACTTGTCAAAGAATTTAGATACCTACGTCAATTTGACTTACCTGCTTCAGTAGCGTATCGGATGTTTACGTTAATAAATAATTATTAAAACTTATCTATTTTTATTATAATAATATGTTTTTATAACAATTTTAATAACTACCAACATTTATTCACAACGTAAAATAAAAAAAAATTATTGAGTCTGCCCCACGTCTACCCTACATCATAGTCTTACATTTTTTGCATAAAATTAGAATGGCACTGATAAACCGGAATTTAAGTCGGCCATATTTGAGGCCCATCGCGGTGGACCTAAGATTTTTGATATGCTCCTTCCTTAGTCTTCTTATTCAGAGATTGGGACGCATCATATGCGATTTTTATTTATTAATTGATTTAGATTAAATTTGACTTTGGCTTTAGTTCTCAACTTTGAAATATATTAAAAATTATATAATAAAATTTAACCTATTCTTAGGTATCAGTTAAATTTCACATTTAAAGTAATAAATGGCTAAAAAAATATTTGCAAAAAAATTTTTAATAAATAAAGGTCCCACATGATGAAGACTTTTCTTAATTAGTTCATCAAAAATAATATTGTCATATAGTTCACACCAATATTTGTACATGATATGTTTTATTAATTAAAGAAAAAAAAAACAAAATAAATTATTTGACTTTATTTTATTCTTTAACCAACAAAGCTCATATAAAAACAGTTATTTTATTCTCTATGGACATGATTTTATTTGCATTACATACAGGGATTTTTTATGGTAAAAAAGCACCACATTCGATTCTAGAAAAAATACCATATGGTCGGAGATGGCGTGGAAATGAATATTGCCGTCATTTTATACATAAAAAAAGAACAAGGTAAATATCACGGATCGTCATTTCCAATCCAACTTGACTCCGTATTTTTCGAGCATACGGCACATACAACACTTATACGATTCATAAGTCAAGGAGTAAAACATATTAAATTATAACATGAACTTTCAAAATATGCTATACCGGGTGCGTCTCAAAAGTGACTCACCCCCTATAACTTTTTTATTTTTTCAGATAAAAAAACAAGATTATTATATTAGTATATGACATAATGTTTCACCGGAAATGACTACAATTTTTGATTTTTAAATGGCACCCTCGGTATTTTTTCACTTTATTCGAAAGAAAAAAACACTCTGAATAGCATGACATATCATATGTCAACTTTTGACATTTTCGCATATGGTTTATTTGAAATTATAACTTGCGGTTCGTAACGAAAATTTGACTCGACATACCAAGTGTGTGGTATCAAATTATTCGTAAAAAAATGCTTATTTCAAATATGCTAATGAGCCACCCTCGTTCCATTTTAAAACCTTGAGATATGATTAAAAATACGATATGAGCATTTTCTAACTGGCCAGGACAAGACAATAAAGACATTAGATAATCAAATCTATTTTTCCAAGGCTCTTTGATTAAGAATTGGTGTTTTTAGTATAACCATGGTAGAGGTGGGAATTCTAGTTCCTTGGGAGGAACTAGTTCCTTAGTTGTAGTTCCTCCAGAGGAATAGTTCCTTGAACTAGGTCTTTAGTTCACAATAGTTCCCGACTAACATTGACATCCTCCTTGCTTGCTAATGCGTTTCGTTGTCAGTCAGAACTATTCACAGTATGATCTGTATAATTTTTATAATGTACGGAGATATAACGAGACGTGTAAAACTAAAAATCAAAAACAGTATCCACGATAATTTTCTGTGGTAATTACGCCGCGCCGGCTGCGGCAATAGACAAGGCCGAATCATCGTCGTCGCCTTGTATCATATCTCGGATCTGCCGACTGAATAGATTCCCGTGAACTAGTCTTAATAGTTCCTCTATGTCCGGATCCGATAACATACGGCTCGCACGCCTCACGCCTGCCTAGCATCAATCGCGCTGGCTGATCCATACGTAAACTAGTCTTTTATTTAGTTCCTCTAGTTCCTTTAGGTCCGGATCCGATAACAAACGGCATAAGGCTGGCACTCCCCACTCCTGCGTAGCATCGATCGCGCTGGCCCGATCCGTTCGTACGTAAACTAGTCTTTTATTTAGTTTAGTTCCTCTAGGTCCGGATCCGATAACGTATGTCTGGCAATCCCCACTACTGCCTACCATATTATTCTATATCGGACACAGTCTGGATCCCGGAATAGGTCCTGAGGAACTAGTCCTTTGAGAAACCATGAACTAGTTCCTTTCATTCCGGGGTCGGAATAGTTCATTGGAACTAGTTCGTTCACGAACTACACACCTCTAAACTATGGTACTCTAGACTGAATTTTAAAATACGATTTTTTTATTAAGCGATATTATTAAAAACAGGCAAATATCAAAATACATATTGACAGGCTGTTTTTTTCCTTCAAAAATTTTATATATTTTTTTGCCTCAAAAACAGTTAATATTAGATATAGAGCGTTTAATATCAGAATTCATAAAATTTTAAAGAGAATTTAACTATGTAATAAAAATGGGGATACCCATTAAAAGAGTTAAAATAAGAAAATTGCTGTCAACTTCCGGTATCTCCGGAAGTGCCGCCATATTGAAAATATTTTTAATCGATAGATCTCGTTGTGAAACAATAATGTGCAAAAAATCTCCGATCTAGATATTGTAGTTCTCTAGAAACTTCTAATGCACGCTCAGCCTGGGACACCCTGTATACAGGTTGTTAATTTGTTTATTACTCGCGGCAAGAGCTTTATAGTTGAAATATGGCAACCTCGGCCCGCTCGTCGAGAGACCACGAGATAGGACGAGTCGGCAGCTTAGCTTAGTACTCATTTGGAATGTAGGCAGTGTTGCCACATTCTGTTCCCTAATAAGTAACTGTCCAGTTAACAATCTGTATAGATAACCTTTTCAATTTAAAAAAATAGAATTTTACATTTCACTTTAGAATGCCATGGTCATAAATGTAACGGCGATTTGACACGAAATGCCAAATGTGTGGTGCCAAATTATGCGCAAAAAATGCTTTTTCCACATATGCTAACGAACCATTAGCATTATTTGGAAATATTATTATTTTTCTATTATATTCAGAGTGTCATTTTCTATCGAATAAAGTAAAAAATACCGAGGGTTCCATTTCTGGTGACCGAAAACAATTGAATACGTCAATCAATCCTAATTTACAGTACGTCTGTCCGTTCTGTAGCTACGGGGTATCCGTGAGAGGGGAAACGATATTCTCTCGATGTTTTTCGTTAAAAATTAGACGACGCGTCCCATCAATAAAAATTCGACAAATTTGCATGTAGCCAATAAAATGAGTGGGCGGAGCGATTTGCGGTGACGTACTCGTCAAGTCGACGTATAAAATATATTGCTATTTATTTAAATGTTTTTTGTCCGCATTCCTTTCATAGACACAGATCCGGCAGACGTACTTTATGTCATATACTAACATACCAAATCTCGTTTTTTTGACTGAAAAAATAAAAAAGGTTATAACCTAACTTAACCTAACCTAACACTACCATTTCTTATATTACATATGTATAGAATAAATAGTAAAAATATCACAGCCTACAAATGATAAAAGTAGAATAATATAATCATATTTTTAATAGACCTTTACAGTTTTTTAAACTGTAGAGAAAAAAAAGTGTAAACTAAGATTGCATATCAGAACACTATGTCCTAACGACCCTAACGTTACCGGCGTCAGTCGTCAACTCGACAAGATATAAAACATAATTATCCATCTTTATTTGATCCAGCATTCAACCATCTCCGTTCAAGACAATAAATTATAAAGTCCTCTAATATATTTACATAATGGATCCGCATGTCTTTTCTGATTAAACATATTCTGACGCAATCGCCATATCTCGAATTATAGTCTAGATACCTCCCTGAACAGAGATGATAGGAGACCCGTTGACTGGCCCGCGCTACTGGCCTCATTTCACTTCCCAGCCGCTGTCTATATAGTTACCTGACAAAATTTCTAGTGTAACGAAACTTTTAACGGAATAATTTACAGTATACAGTATTAAACAATCCGGAATAAACATTTGATATAATATTCAAAGTATGATCTATAAACAGCAGCTGGCATAGATCACTAGACAGTTAAGGTATGGCAGAAAATTTACATGTAACTCTTGAGACGTCAGGACCTTACGATACCGCTGTGATTGCGTTGTCATGTAACAAGACTTAGGTAACGTTAGTATATATAGTAGATATTTCCGTAATGGGCTCTTTCACAAAAAAATAAAATACCCAATTCAAGGACAAAATCTGAAATAGAAGACTATTTTCAGTATATTTATCTAAAAAAAAATAGTTCCATGACATTGAATAATTTTTTTATAGGCCCTCAAAATTGCTTTAATTTGAAATAATTTTAAAGTGCCAATTGATGACGTATGAAAAATACGCCCAATCACATTGCAGAACCGTGGTCGTGCGCCAGCCAACAACTGGCAACATTGCGATTTGATTTGACCAGCACCACCTCAACTCAAGGCCAATCAACATGATATGGGCAAGGAAAATATGGCGGCGAAGGCAGGGCATTATTAAATTGTTTACCTTTAACCTGAAAAGCCGGTAGTGGTTTCTCGTTCCGATTGCATACCAGAAATAATTAATTATCTCTAGTTTGTTGTGCGTCTGCAACACGTTTGTTTAGTTCTTAGTGTTCAGTGCATGATGTGATCAGAAAATTGTGATAAAATAACAGTGTAATAAAAATCCAAACCAGACATTCCACATAGGGAACTTCAAACTTTTGTGCTTGTCGTACTCCTCTATTATTAATTATTTTGAGGTAAGAGCTAGAAGTATTTATCAATATATTACACCCTAGTGAGGATGT